TCGTGTGACTTGCAACAACTTTTATCTGAGCAGCGCACATGGAGATGTAAAATAGAAAAAAAATAAAAAAAGGATCATTGAACTTGAACGTGAGATAAGAATTTTGAAAGAACAAATTGGGATTCACATCAATAAATCATTGATAAAGACTACGAAGGAGATTGGTGGGCATGATCAAATGTATAAATTTTACACCACCAACCTTGATAATCCAAACTAGTTAGTATATAATCAAATTTATTTGATTCATTCAGTATAATTAGCAATGTAATTCATTCTTATATTTTAGTATTGTAGTGGAAGTGCATGGACAGATATTGACCAAAGCATAATGGAGAAGACGATTTTCTGTATAAATAGCCTATTGTGGTCCCTTTCAGAAGACTATCATCTCGCAACAAAGATGACTTAGCCTCAAGCTTGTCGAATTTTGTCGACATAACCCACTCTTTGCTAGGTCGGTGACCACTGAATTTGAGACCATCACAAGGTAGAGTTGTCAGCTCTTTCCAGAGAGTTTGATCGATTTTAATCTCAATCCCTGCCACTTCTGACATCAAAACTCCTTTTTGGAGGATTAGGTTACTATAGAATTCTCGAATAAAATCTAGATACATTGGTTTCCAAGAAGGTAGTCAGCTCTACATTCTTCAAAATTGTAATGAAATCAAATCCATTATTAACAAAACAACGGTAAAGCGAGAAGCAATAAAACCAAAAAGTAAAACATATCCTCTATTTGTAACAAGCATCATCAAAATCATCATCTACTTATCCAAGTAAAGCAAAGAGTAATAGAACACCAAGCGGGAATAAGTGATTAGTAGCGAAAGTGATGATGTTAATTATACTAAATAAATTGAATTAATCAAATAAATTTGATTATATACTAATCGGTTTGGATTATCAAGGTTGGTGGTGCAAAACTTATATAATTGATACATTTGATCATGTCCACCAATCCCCTTCGTCTTTATCGATGACTTATTAATGAGAATCTCAATTTGTTCTTTCAAAATTCTTACCTCACGTTCAAGTTCAATGATATTTTTTTCATTTTCTTCTGTTTTACATCTCCATGTGCACTGCTAAGATCAAAGTTGTTGCAAGTCACACGAGACACCACTGGAGGAAGGTATGTTTGCATTCTCATTCTGTGAATGCATCAAAGCTTCTTGCAGAACTTTGATCGTCTGATCTTCCATATTGCCCAATCATATACAATCTACCAAAAGGAAGACTTTATATATTACCAACATAATATAATAAGTCCACATTTTAAAGAAAAATTAATATATGTTGTACAAAACATTTCTTACATTGTTTGAAATGAATGTACGTTCTATTTTGGACATTCAAATATTCACTTTGGATCATTCAAAAAAATGCGAAAAACAAATCTTTCGTTGTGGATCAGTAGGCAAAAACAGGTGATTCATTGCCTAGATCTATGACATAATACAATGTCATAAGTCACAATTTTATACCAACTAATAAATCAATAATTTGTAAGAACTATAGCATCATTAAGTACGAAAGTTACTTGTAAGACAACGACACAACCAGCAACGTATAATTGAGAAGCATTCTTTGGCTCGTTTAAGTTTTTACTAGCACGATGCAAACTATTAACTAATACACCGTGCACAGCATATCCCCAATTGTAATCATCTAATGTCTTCAAATCATCTAATAAACTAAAATGAACACTATGAATAGTACGAGATGTGCGAGGAAAGTAAAAAACTGTCCACCCAAGTAAGATATACAGCCTACAAAAGTCAACTACATATTTATTATGCTTAATTTTTTTTTCTTTTAAACTTCCTAATTATGTTTGTTACTGTTATTTGTTCTTCTTCGTCAAATAAATCTTTTACTAAATATGAATCACTATCTTCTAAAACAACTACCTCCCCTCTTATATGTAAACCTAACGCAAAACAAACATCTAAAAAGATGAATGGAACAACATATTATTTTATTGTAAAACAATGATCACTAACTGACCATCAACTAACTAATTCTCTAATAACATTGCTAGATATTTGCAATGACTTTTTTATTTGAAGAAGTCATTTAAAAGAGGTTTCTTCAATAGCTACTCGTTGACGTGTAATCAAATTTGAATTTATATCAATTATATACTATGTCTCAACCTTGTGTTTTAATTTTATCTACACATATAACATATAACAAATTAAATATTTAGTAATTCACTTTTGATAAAATAACTATAATTAACATGCACATACTTTGTTCTCGTCACGACGGTCTCTTTTTGCAGACTTTTTCCAAAACTACTTTTGTTACAATTAATAAAATTAAACTTACAATGACAAAATACTAAAAAAAAAAAATATAAGTACAAGCATGTTACACATATAATTTTGGTGAAATTGTGTATTATACAAACATGGACATAAATCTTGGACGTATTGTACAAACTTTTCTATTATAGACTAAGACAGACAATGCTCTACAATTAGTACAAACATGTTACACATATAATATTTGTTCAGCTAGCTACTATTAAAAAACATTCTGTTAAAACTAACATGGTCTAAACTGCAGGTATCAAGTGAAGAAGCAATAGAAAGTACTAAGTTGTTTGCTTTAAAAGAAGGTTTGTTGGTATGACAATGATAACTTGTGGCTCTTACTGATTTCACATTAGTTTCTATACAGATTTTCCTATAAAATACAAACTCCATACTTCTCTAATTTCAAGTATTCAAATTATTGGTTTTCACGCTGATTATGTTATTACTTCTTTTGCAGATGAGAATTTCATCAGGTGTCGCAGCAATTGCTGCCATAAAATTGGAGAAAAGACCAGAAAATATTGGAAAATTATTCGTTGTAAGTTTCTAATCTTTGACAAGTTTAGACTTTTAAAAACAGATGAACTAAAATAGAGATCGACAAGTTACAAGCAATATAAAGAAAAAGGAAATTTGGCAAAGCATACCTGTTTGTTTACCATTCTGCAAACTGAACGTTCTAAATCTGAGAACACCTGTATGCAATGCACAATTGTTAGCAACAACTAGGAAAAAAACGATTATAAGTATTAACATAATAAAAAACATTGGTAAATATAACAGCAGCAAACCTCTTTTTCCCAATAAATGATCAAAGTGGTAAGGTGATAATCAAGATAGAAGAATATACCAAGAAATAAGTTATTAGGCTTTGTACCTTTGCCATGGAGGTCAAAATATCAGCCACGAAAAAGTCTGGAGACGTAATTGACTGTACCAAGAAAGGAGCCATTATTTGTAAGAAAAGTTATAAATTTTATAAATGTCAAGCATGATAAAATCAGCAAACAAACTTATAGAAACGAGTAAAATTAACAACTTAAATTATCAAAACCACTTAATAAACTAGTAACTGTCAGATTTGTATATTCACGACAATAAACTATTGGATGTTTCAGGTGCTTCGTATAAGGAACCAAATGCAGATCAAACACTCAAACATCCATGTCAAGCATGACAGTAAAAAATCTTACTTGCAAAGGGAAAGCTATCCGAAGTAATGTCCTCAAAAAGAAGTACCGAGAGGACAAATAGAAAATATCAAAGGGAAAGATCAAGATCATTGCAACAAGAATGTAGAGAAGCACCTGCAATATCATACATATGTCATATGATCAGAATAAACGTTACATAAAGTGTTTCTCATAGAAAGGATCATAGGAAGCAATTCACTTTTATCTGTTTGATTCTTCGTTAGAAATGCAGAAAGACATTTAACAATTGTATTATTTGAATATTTTAATGTGGCTAAATTGTTCAATGTCTTGGACTATGTTGTTGGAGTAGCATAAAGGTGATATTGACATATTCTTATTTTTAAAAACCACTCCTTAAAACTGAGAATTAGTCTAACAATCATTTCATTATTTTTAAATAATGATATTTTAATTAAATTAAAATAATTTTGATAAAAAATTCTAGGCAAATCCTCACCTCTTAAATGGGGGAGTTCAGTCCACATTATTCATTGACTATGTTGATCACGTTTTTCTAAAAAAAATATTTTTTTAAAGTTAAAATTAATTAAACTAATTCATGAAAATTCTTCCATATTGATTTTATAAATTTTACACATATGTTAATTTTAACTTATGAAAAATATTTATTTTATACTCTTTCTTCTACATAAATTTGTGGATAAATTCATTCAAACAGCACATATCCATTTCATCTGGGTCTATCCTTTAAAGTGACTTTCTCTTTCCCACCCCAAAAGCCCGTTACATGCATAAAACAAACCCAAAAATGTTTGAAGGTATTAAATTGAAAGGTGAAGGGTAAAATTGGGTTTCCATTTTAAAAGTTACTTTGAAAATTAAGATGAAAAATGAAACTTTAAAATTAAAGTTAAAGTTGTATAGTAACTTAATAATTTTATAACCTAATTTCAATTGCTTGGACATCAAAATGCTGCAAAAAATTCAAATTTCTGAAAGATTGAAATCTGCATTGGAGGAACTACATGATATTATTATTCGAGAATGAAACAGTTACATAAGCATAATAAATATTTATCTTTATAGACATATTCAGAACATATTAACCAGATAATTCTCAGTTCATAGTGCATCTATGGTTGTCAAAGAATATAACTAATCCTTAGTACACCTTTTGCAACTTTTTCATGCACTAAACAACACCAAATAAACCATTTTAATGTCAACAAATTTTATTTGAAGCATGCATATACATTTTTTTAGACATTTAAACTACATTGTATAAATAAATCAAAACTTCTTCAACAATAATCAAGCCACTGTGGAAACCCAATATTTCGACACCAGAAAGAAGCATTTGTCAACTAATAGTTTCAAACAAATCAAGAATGAAAGGAATCATAACACTATAACCTAAGTTAGCACAGAAGTATCTAACCTTGTTATATCATTTTCCTGGAGTCAAAGCTCACAGCAGCTGTTTGTTTCATCAAAAACTCCATGGTCCTAACAATTCCTATCATTTTTCTAGTAGAGCACGAACCAGGGGATCAAAAGTTACAGCATTAGGAGGGAAACCATCATCTACCATTTTCAAAAGTAACGCCTCTGCTTCGTCTAACAATCCCTCTCTACATAACCCATTGATCATAATATTGTAAGTACGGATATTTGGACCACAGCCTTTCACAGAAAGAAGTTGAAAAATCTTTTTAGCAGCCTCTAATCTTCCACCTTTGCAAAGACCATCTATAAGTATGTTAAATGTACGAATATTTGGAGAAATTCCCATGTCAACAATGTGCTCAAACGCAATCGCCTTATCAAGACACTCGCGTTTGAGATAATCATCTAACAGCACATTGTAAGTGATCAAATCCGGCGCTTGACCACTCACCCGCATTGCCTCAAGCGGATTCCACTCAGACAAGACTTTCCCAGATTTCGACAAACCATCAAGAAGGCAATTATAAGTCACTGTATCCGGAACCAAATTCCTCTCATGCATCTCCATTAACAACCTCATGGCCTCATCGACCATCTTAACCTTACAATACCCATTAATCAAGGTACAATAGCTAATACCATTCGGTGATTTACCTCTTTCAACCATTCTATCAAACACCTCTTTGGCCTTACTCACACAACCCATCAAACAAAACCCGTTCATCAAAGCATTGTAACTAACAACATCAGGCTCTAATCCTCTCTTAATCATCACACCAAACACATTCCTAGCCTCTGCGACCAACCCCAACTTACACAACGCATCAACCAATATATTAAAGGTATAAACATCCGGCCAAATGTCTCTGTTCCCTTGCATTACCATCTCATTCAACAACCTAACCGCTCCCTGAAACTGACCAGCCCCACATAAACCATGAATAAGAGAATTGTAAGTGAAAACATCCAGACAAATTCCTTTCCCAACCATCTCAGAACACAACTCACAAGCTTCAGTAACAAGCCCCTCTTTGCACAAACCATCAACAAGCGTATTATAAATGATCAAATTGGGCCTAATTCCAACCCCCTCCATTTTCCTCAACAACTCCATAGCATCCCTTGTTTTGCCCACTTTGCACAAGCCATTGATCAAAGTGCCATAACAAACCTCATCAAAGGAAAACCCTTTGGACACAGCATGGTCATGCAAGTTGAGCGCCTCAAAGGCTCTACCTTTGAGGCACAACCCCTTCATAAGGGTAGTGAGGGTTAATGGGTCGACCCCAAAACCCCTTTTGATGACTTTTCCCATGACGGAGAAGGCGAGACCCACTTGGCCCAAGTGGGAGAGGGAGTTAATGAAGATGCTGAGAGTGACGAGGGAGGGTTTTGGGATGCCCTTTGAGTCTAACCGGGAACAGAGTGAAACGACGGTGGAGTAGCGTTTTGTCTTCATGATTGATGAGAGAATCTTGTTGAAAGAAACAATTGGGGGTGTGGGATGGAGGTGGAGCAAGCAGTGGAAGGAGGAAATGGCGTCGTCGAAGGTGGAAGGGCTGGGGAGGGGTTTGCGAGTACGAGAGAAAAAGCGAGAGGAGAGGGTGAGGAAAGGAAGGGAAGGGAAAAGGGTGGTGGAATTCGGCATGGTGGAGGAGGAGACATTGGAGGTTGTGTGCAACAGAACCGAGTATTTACAGAACATAGTCTTTGACATCATTTATAACCAAATAATTTCTCTTTAAATAAAATGGATTAATGGGCAATTAATTGTTTCTTTAAGGTTTTAAGCTAATTTTTTAAACAACACATTGTAACTTTGTTGGAATTAGTTTTTCTTAAACATTAACTCTATACTATTATTTTTAATAATGGTTTTATTTTGATAAAAAAAAGTAAAATAATTTTTCTGAAGATTTTGTATACCGTATTCTAAATTAAACTCTTGCTATAAATATGATTAAGAAAATCGATAATGCCTTCTGTAATTATTTATATTCGTGTTTTATAGGGAGAGAATAAAGAATGAAGTTCATTCTCTAGGAAAAGTTTGACACTTTTTCATAACATATTTTACTTTATAGTAATGTTCATATTATTCAACTCAACCCATCATTTTTGCTTTTGACAATGATGCTCCAATTCACTTCACTCGTTATATGATGGTTTATTTTGACACGATGTTACTATTAATCACCCTAGTTATTTATGTGAGATTCACTTACCTATTTGGTACTTCATTCCAGAGCCAATTATAATCGATACATCAAACTTGGATCAAATTTGGTATGGGTTTGATATAATTTTGATCTCCTACTTTACTCAATTTATAATTTTGGTCCTTCCATATTAAAATAAATATCTTTATTTCTCATAATTTAAAACTTGTCATTGATTAAATATTAATTTAGGGTTAACTATGTGATGTGCTCTGTTTTTGCATGTAAATAACGGGTTGGACATCTCGTTCTTGACTCACAAACTTTGGGTTATGCAATACAAACCTTAACACAATGAAACGTTGAATCCTCTACGAACTAAATTGTTCTGTAACTCGGTCTGCGTTGTCATCTTGCCTTAAGTTTACACTAAGATGTTGATGAGTGGTATAGGACCCGATCTCCTTTTAAGAAGGGTGTGAAATTCCTACTCTATTCCAATGCATGATTAAAAAAAAAAAAAACCTTTAAGTTTACATGTTTCATTTGTTTTAATTTTATATTTCACTTACAAATACAAGATTTAACCAAAATTTCTTATTAAAACAGGAAGATCAAATATCTCTAATATAAAACTAAATGACCGAATTTTTGTATGGAACAAAATAGAAAAATAAAAATTTGTATAAAAGTCTTCTTTTTATTAGAAGTGTATCCTAATTGTAACAAGTACACAAGCTTATGTCCATTACAAATGTTGATCTATGTAAAGAAGCACAGAAAAATGGAGGGAAAACTGAGTGCAACATCCATCATGGCCACCATTGTTCTTAATTACTACTTCTTGCAGCTCTTCATGTATAAGTGAACATATTCATCTAAGAATCTCTTCAATTATGCATGCAACTGTAGGCTTGCTTCTTCATTTACATTGAACTGCTGAGACAGTCACAGAATCTCTTCCCATTTCAGAAGAAAGCATACTTGCATGACAATACAACTTAAAGAAAGAACGACCGAGCCGGGGCTGCTTCAGCAATGGAATCAACTATCTGAGTCTCAGACAACCATGCATGTGCATGTTGAAAACTCCCTCATGTTGGTTGGCCAAGAACACATTAAGAAAAATGCTTTTGGGATTAGAACTAATATTAGCATAAAAATTGAATTAGACCTGTTGCTGATATGAAGATATTGGCAAAAATTGTTTGGCTGAGATTCTCTATACATCATGAATGTTGGAACCTAGCAATTTCTCCTCCTCTCTTTGAATTTCTGTGAGCTGAATACCAGATCGTGTGATCTTGTTCCACTCATTTTCAACTCTAAAAAAGATCCACTGGAAGCGACGTAACATCTCCAGAAGAGTGATAGCAAACAATGTCAGGTAGTTATGTCGGAGATGAGCAGATAATTTGTATGTCCATGAGCAGCGCAGAATGAAGTTGGTTCCAATCACCCAAAAGTATATCTGCAGCTCAGAAATTAGATTTGTCAGATCAAATGAACATGTATTGCATCTTTGTTCTGAGATGCTTCAGCCTCTTACCCATTGTCGACCATAGAACAGATTGGAGACTACACTTGGTTTGGTGAACTTGAATATGCGAGAAAATCCACTGTAATACAAAGGAAAAATGATAAAAATGTCAATATAAAGTGAAATCGGTGTATACTTAAAAAAGTAGGGTGCAGCAAACTAGCATCTAGACATCATATGCATATTTTTTGTTTCCCTCGAGTATCATTCTAAATAGTCAAACCCTATTGAAGGTACAATCGAACACTAAATGTAAGCACCTCTCCTAGCGAGGAATCAAACTTTGGTTCACTGCATTATGAATACCTTGATTCGAATCTGCTTTAATATATTTTGTGTTCACAAAGTTTTAAAATTAAATTTTGGTAAAAGTAACATTTCTATCTAAGAAAATTGTGAGATCTGTTATTTTCAATGTGAAAGGGAAAGATGATAGATTTGGTACCTTAAATCCCAATCTCTGGTTATATCCCAGTAAAATGAATAGAGGGAATTAATGACACTTGAGAGAAGCCACAGTGGCCTATAAAGAGTTGTCCACTTCTCATGGAGAACATGGTATTTAAGGGCTGAAAGAAAAATGACTGGGACTGCTGTTGAATATTTTAAAGCTGGAAAACAAAATGTAAATGGTGTTAGAATACCAGGATATCAAGCATCACAGGCGTTTTAATAATCAAGACAAAGATTGATTTCTGTGCCTTAGAAGTCTACAAGCATTAGCACTATCAGGACAACCATCAAACCGGTACATCTTACACTTTCAGGAGGGCAAGGGATAAAGTTTCCAAGAGCAATTACCATTGAAGAGACAATTTTTTTCTTTGGTATCTCTGTACTGGCGAAGACATTGCAATAAACGCCATATATAAGGAAGAACAAGAACTATTGGTATTGCAACTGAGTGACTACCACAAACTGAATCAGCTTCAAGCCAAGCAATTGTGGCGACCTGCATATATGAAAAATAAAAATATAGTATTCAAATTCCCTATGTACAAAATATGGAAGGAAACACAAATTTGCACAGGCAAACGGTGAGAGAATGGAATAGGCCCTTTTTCTTCACTATTTTCAAAAAGAGTTTCTGTATTTTAAAATTTATTTGTCCCTTGAACACTGTTGAAAGTGTTTTGTCCCTTGAGCACAATTCTGTTTTCTAGAAGATTGTCCTTTAAACACTTGAATACAAAAGAGGACGACAAAACATCTTCCAGCTCTTTCTGCTTTTTAGTTTTTATAACATTGTTTTGGAGATAAATGTCAAAATTAAATAGATTTTGTGTAAGAAATTGATATCTGAGCCGAGTAGTCTGGTTTAGAAAACAATTTCTGAAACAAAAAAAAGTGAAAAGGGAATCAAACAAGCGCGTAGTTTTGTTGAATCTAACATATAGTATCCAGCTTGGCAACAATTGTATCAAAAGGATCTAAAAGCAAATGAAAATACTATAAACATGATAGGAAATCAATGACAAAAAAAAAAATAAGTGGGCATCTATGATGCATAGTTATATTATACGAGTATGGATGATAAATTTATTATAAAGAAAAGTTAGATACTATACATATGAGATTTAAAAATGTAAAAAACTTATGAAACCTAATACTGTAAAACTACAATCATGCAAATTCAAATTTCAAATCACATTTCTTAGATATTGTGGAAATAAAAAATATAAATAATTATTATTACAAAATATTTGCTGTTATTTACATATAAGAATAAGATTATCATTCTCACTAATTTTTTAAAATATTTAGTTTTTTTTTTTTGGTCTATGAAAAATAATATTTATATGTTTCTATTTTATAGATAGATATATGTTTCTTAAACTTTATTGAATATAAATAATTTAAAAGTTTTGACATTTAACTAACATCGGTAAGTTATCTAGAAGTATTATTTGTAAAACAAATAAAAATATTGATGTTTCATAGTGATACTTACGTATCATTGAAGTATCGGTCAAGTATTCTACACGATACATATCGGATACGGATACGTGAAGCAAATTGAACGGTGCTTTATAGGTGGGCGTACAAAATAAGGGTATGAAGTTGTGAGTTAAATGCTTCAAAACGATCTAATGATTCATATACATGAATATATAAATTTTCATATGCATATTCTGTGAAATGTTTTGTCACAATATTAAAATAAGGTTAGGCTTTTAAAAACAGATGAACTAAAATAGAGATCGACAAGTTACAAGCAATATAAAGAAAAAGGAAATTTGGCAAAGCATACCTGTTTGTTTACCATTCTGCAAACAGAGCGTTCTAAATCTGAGAACACCTGTATGCAATGCACAATTATTAGCAACAACTAGGAAAAAAACGATTATAAGTATTAACATAATAAAAAACATTGGTAAATATAACATCAGCAAACCTCTTTTTCCCAATAAACGATCAAAGTGGTAAGGTGATAATCAAGATGGAAGAATGTACCAAGAAATAAGTTATTAGGCTTTGTACCTTTGCCATGGAGGTCAAAATATCAGCCACGAAAAAGTCTGGAAACGTAATTGGCTGTACGAAGAAAGGAGCCATTATTTGTAAGAAAAGTTATAAATTTTATAAATGTCAAGCATGATAAAATCAGCTAACAAACTTATAGAAACGAGTAAAATTAACAACTTAAATTATCAAAACCACCTAATAAACTAGTAACTGTCAGATTTGTATATTCACAACAATAAACTATTGGATGTTTCAGGTGCTTCGTATAAGGAACCAAATGCAGATCAAACACTCAAACATCCATGTCAAGCATGACAGAAAAAAATCTTACTTGTAAAGGGAAAGCTATCCGAAGTAATGTCCTCAAAAAGAAGTACCGAGAGGACAAATAGAAAATATCAAAGGGAAAGATCAAGATCATTGCAACAAGAATGTAGAGAAGCACCTGCAATATCATACATATGTCATATGATCAGAATAAACGTTACATAAAGTGTTTCTCATAGAAAGGATCATAGGAAGCAATTCATTTCCTTCCATTTAAAAAGAGTTATGACAGGCCTTAGAAAAAAAATAAGACATCAGCTTCCACCTTGACTCTAACACAAAAAATGACAACTACATATATGTTTAATGAAATTTAAAAAAAAAATGTGTATCAAAACAAGCAAATAAATATCATATTGAAAAAGAAATTACATTCAAGTGATGGAGAGAGAGAAGAGAGAAACAGATACTAAACTGGTTGAGATGCAGCCAATGATACTTCCCCATGAGAATAGAGATAGAGGTAAGCAGTCATGCTAGTAGGGACAATGATTGTCATCCAAGTGCTACACTGAAAACGACATAACATTTTAAGTTAATACATAAAACATGGATAATGTATCCCTCTGCTGTCCCTCTACAAATTCTCTGTTTATTTTACTGTTGAACCCATACAAAGGCTAATTTGGTTTTTTAGTGCCTAAGCATTTATTACTTTGATTACCAATATGTTTCAAAGAATAAGATAAAGACAGACATATGGTTGAAATATTGATTTTTCAAAATCATGAATCAAGAAAAACATCAAACAACTTTTTCCATTTTGCATTGAATAATGTTTTCTCTAAAAAGAAGGCTGAGCAAAGAACCTGACTACCTTCCATATCTCTTTGTGACTGAGGTGGTTTTGATCAAGATCAAAGACCTTAGCATAGCTTACGGTGGATTGTAGAAATACCCACAAATTTATTCCCCAAAGCCAAACCATCATAGTCTGTATAACAGTGAAGTAAGGAAAAAAACCATCAAGTTCCACAAAAATTGTGAACAATACACAACATATACCGGAGAATTAAGCCCCCAACTCACCACAAGAAGGAGAGGATTGTAATACAAAAATGCTTCGTATAAAAACAGATCTCGCAAATTTGCATCCATTCTCATGACAGAATCCCAACTAATCTGTAAAACCAGGAAAAGGCGAATATTAGGTGTGGAATTGGTAGGGAATTATAAAGGGTCTTCCAAAGTGATGCTCATTGGCATCCATGGACAATCATATATATATATATATATATATATATATATATATATATATTATAAAAGTGAAAATACAGATTCTGACCTTGCAGCAAGTAAGGCCCCATATAATAAAGAGTGTCACCTGAAAAAAATATACATACATAGACAGAAGTTCATACACAGTACAAGTAAAAAAACAGAGAAATTAAAGAAATATATCCAATTATGATAGGATAAAGTTAAACTGACAGAGACTTCCACAAATATAAAATTACAATCTGCACAAAAAAATTTCTTCACATATTTTCAAAATTGAATTTTTCAACATTGCCGAGTAACATTAGAATAACACAAAAATTACAATACGATACAATTTACAGACAAAAACATACAGCAGCAAATTTTCCACAATCAGAAAGTAATACTGAAAGCTGTGCTTATATCTATGAGCACCAGCATAATAAATAAATAGCAAAGTGAGGAGTGAGGATCGAGGAGGAGAAAGCATTATATATATGGCTGCTGAACTTGGAGAGATCCAAGAAAGTCTAATATGAACAAAGACCATTTAAATATAAAGAAACTAGCTAGCAATGCCATTACTACAGTTATCATAAAAGGGATGCTTGTTTCTTTTTTCCACTTCGTTCTTATTTTATTTTTTGTGTTCTTTGGTGAACAGTATCAGTATAACATATTGTCAGCTTTCTTCCAAACATAAGAAACATTAAAAAAAAATACTCCAGTTTAGAGGACTTTCCAGTCCCTATAAAAATAAAAATAAAAATAAAAATCCCCCTGAACGGAGTGGTGTCAAGCACCAAACTTATGCAAATTGTGTAAGATATACAGACCTTGAACCTCCACAGAAAAGTTGGAGATGGCGTAGCATTTTGCACAGGTGAAATTATACCCTTCATCGTTTTAGTATTGTGGTATTACAGGACCTATTCTGCACAGAAAAATGAAAATAATTAGAAAAAATTGTGTGGGAGAATAAAAGAAAAGCAAAACAACATCTTGGGGGGCAATGGAAAGGGTAGCTGAACAGAAATAATCTTTCCTTTTCTCTATTAAATTGTATTATTGTGGTCTAAGGAAGAGTCAGACCCTCTTTTTTTCATTAGGAATAAAGGTCTTGCCACAAGTCAAACTTGTGACCTTCACATCACATGCTCCAACGTAGCACCAAGGTTACCTCAGAGGACATTATTAAGCAAATAAAAAAGGTAAAAACATGGGCTAGAACTTATCATCTTCCACAATACTAGTGGATTTCACTCAAAGGTCAATTGAAGTTTATAATGAATAATCATTGCTAAAGTTCTTCATCTATATTATTTTCAGAGAGTGCAGTCTAAATTGCTTTATATTTTCTTCAAAAGTTAAACAACATGTTTATAGATAATTAGCACGTATGCATGTCACTGTCAAAATGTAACCTGCTCCACTCCTGCTACACATCAACACAAGGCAGGCATAAAATCTCCTTTTATATCATACACAATTCACGTGTTTAAGCTTCTACTTCTGAATACTGTTCAGAAACATAGCAATGGCCTTTGTCTGTTGCAACTTGCAAAGGAGGTGTTCTTAACTTTTGTGTACACAGCATTGGCTCTAGGGTCACATCTCCAACATTCTGATGATTAACTTCAGCCATAAAATTATAAAGTACTACTATTACCAGATCAGAAGCTCTTGATTGTTATAAATTTTGGACAGCTAAATGGGTTTTCATATAATGAAACACAGAAATAAAGGTAGTCAACTGCCAAAATAAGGCTTTTAAATGCTAAATCCAACGCCCCACATAAAGAGCTCATAAATTTGGCGTGCACTACAGTACAAGTATATCCAATCCTTCCATTAATCTTAACATTACTCTCATCAAAAATCAAGAAAAAACAAAATTACAACAATAAAAGCTCACACAATTGGCAAGCACGGCAACAGGAGCAAATTCATTTCCATTTCCAATTCCTCCACAGATTTCGAATCCAACAACTAAAAAATCCAAATAACCACAGCTTTAACAAACCACGCATCACATCACAAAGTACAAAAACAGAGTCAAGCCAAAAACCCCACGTAACAAAAGCCATCAAAATCATATCTTGAGAATCTCCTATTATTCAAAGAGCCCTACATCCTGGGAAATTCCAACAATCAGCTTCCAGGGCGTAGCAAATAACCGAAATTGAATCAGATCAATTAATCACCTGTTGTTGCGGTCAGCGAGTGAGTCAGATCTGGTAGCACAATAATGGGAAACTTTTGCGCGCGAAGGACGCTAGATAACAGAGGAGAATGATGACTATGATGGTGAAGGTGTTGCGTCAATCTCAAAGCACGTTGCTTACTTGCATTGCTGGCAACGAGATTTGTTGAAAACAAAAACCGTGGCAGTGGCAGTGTTGTGATTTTACCCGCCACTCTGAATTACGGTTTCCTCAGCAGAAAAAAAGAGAAAGTGGTGCAGGCTGGATTCACTTGAGAGAATAAGAAGAATGGTTACTGTGATGTGATCATATTCAATTCACACTTTTTTTTTCTTTCCTATGTGTTGGGTGAAAATGGGAAACCATGAAAAGAAGAGGAATCAATTTGGACAAATACTTAGAAAATTTCTTTTTGAAAACTAAAATTAACACATTTATGGTTTTGTGTGACATTGAAACTTCAAGCGAAAATATCTTAATAGATACTAATTGTTTTTATTATTCAACCTATCTGTTTTATATTCAGACAAAAATATCAACAATCTTGCATTATTCTTTTATTTATTATCACACAAAAATAGAGTTGGTTCTATTAATTAACTGTCATTTTAATATATTTTATTTAGTTCTATCTTTTGGCTCCGAAGATCATGTATTTCTTTTCCCATTTTTAAATATTAATATAGGGGTATTCAGAAATTGTATTGCCTAACGTTTATACTTTAAAAAAATGAATTCAAACCTATTATATTTTATTAAAATTTAGTTTGATTTCGGTTTATAAAAATAATAATAATTTCAAATAAAGTCAAACTGATTAAAATTGGATTAGCTTAATGATTAATTTTTTTTTCATGTAATATTTCAATATGAGGTTATTGAATATGGGATTTAGGGTAGGATTTTCATGATAAGGTTTGTTTTAGAACATTGAGAAGAGCTTCTTTGTCACACAGTGAAGAGGTTTTTGTTTTTCCTAACACTATATGAGAGGTGTAAAGAAGACATCACATGTAAAGAAGATAACAACCATACCATATTGTTATTTTGACGTGGAAGTGTTGTTATTTATTCATTCAATATATGAAAATCTAAATCAAAGGCTATTTGATCTTTTATGTTTTGAACATAGCAAGCGCGAAAGGATCAAATTCTTAAGTAGGTTTGATAACAATTGAATTATTTATTGAATATGCAGTGAAGTTATGAATTTAATTATATATTTTCAAAAAATTTGTGTCAAATCCTTGGCCAAATAATTTTTGGTCATAGATGACATTAATGCTATTAAAATCAATTTTAATGTTGAATGTGAATTGGTCCAATATTTATAGTTTCATATGTGTATTTCGTGCCTTAGACGATTTCCTATCATTTATTTAGAATTATAAGGTCTAGTTAAGTTTTGTTTAATTAAGTTATAGGAACTACAACTTGTTTCTCCTTTCTTTTCTTTTTTTTCTTCTTTTAGAGAAGAAAGTTAATATCATTGAGTTTGTTTACTCATTCTTCTTTAGAGATAGATTTCCAATACTTTATTATAGGGTTTTTTTATGAGGATAGTTTATTGTTTGATGTGCCATCTTAATTTTTTTTTTTTATGTACTACAGATTATTTATATTGATGGGATTGGGATTGCATTCAAGTGATTCTTTGGCATCAATATATTAAAAATTATATGCAAAGATATACGGGACAGAAAATTTTCATTTAAAAAACAATATATAATTTTGGAGATCTAAAATTTGAAGTAATATGGTATTATTTTCCATTTCTTTTTTCTAATGGAAGAAATGGATGGAATATTTTCTCTAAATTTTAATTTTTAATCTCAAGACTTAACTAACTTAGAGGAACATTGAGTATTTGTTTTTTCTCTAAAAAAAACATATTGAGTATTTAATATTATTAAAATGACTCTTACTTTTTATATCTTCTAATTTCTTCGTACATTTTTATAATTTAAGTTAAATATTTAAAATATTATTCTCATAATTTTGTTTTTTACTCTAATTTTATCTTGTATTTATATACAATTTTTACATAATTTAAGTTAAATATTTAAAATATTATTATGATAATTTTGTTTTTTATTCTAATTTTATCTTGTATTTATATACAATTTCTACATGTTTATTTTTCGTGATTTCTGTCTTTTGATTATTTAATTTTTTATATTATCATCTCCATTAAAAATATTTTTTAATAATTAAAGATAAATAATGATTAATATTATGTTGGATTAGAAGTTATTACATTTAAATTATACCATTTGAAATAGTACGAACAAATTAAGGTTGAATTTTCAAAAAGTCAATCCAAAAATCTATTTAGGTTTGAGTGTTTCAAAATATATTTTTAAAATAATAAATTTGAAAATTATTTATGGGTGTTCTAGAAATTATTTTTACCTAAGCTTTTTTAAAAATATATTTAGGATGGAGTGTTTTAGAATAGTTTTTAAGTATTTCTAGAATGTATTTCAAAGATGAAGATAACGATAATGTAAGGATAAAATAAAATTTAATATAATTATGGGTTGATTTGCAGAATGCAGGAGACAACAGCCTATTAGAATTTGTACTTAATTTTTATTATTTTTTGTAAACTAGTACCCTTTAGACATTCGCCCTCTTTTTTATCTACGTAAGAGCAAGTGTCTATGGCGAGCCCAGAAGAAGCAAAGCTCGAAATTTTCATGCAGTGGTTACAGGTACATTAACATGCTTATTCTGTGGCCAAATGGCAACGTATATTAAGACTTTATGGTGAATACTCTATGGTGTCTTTTGATGAGTTTTCATTTTGTTTTGGTCTTGAATTTAGGCAAATGGGGTGGAGCTACGAGGTTGCAAGATCAAGTGCTGTGATTCCAAACGAGGGTTTGGCATCTTTTATGAAAAAGATGTTTCTGATGGTAATATCGACATGGATTGAGTAGAGAGAAGGAGTTGTTGTTATGGTTGTTGTTTAGAATGTGAGAGTGCGTGAAAATTTGTTAATTCCCTTTTGTTATAATCTTGGAATATTGAAATTTGAAAATACTGGTCTTGCCTTTGAAGCTAAATAAGTGGGTATCTTCAAAGAAGGAAAATTTTGTAGGTGCTAAGTGTTGTGAATGTTTATAGTTCTGTGCCTCGACCTCTGAAAAGAGAGAATATAATCTTGTTTTCTTTGAAAATCAGGGGTTATATTGGTTGTTCCACTAGATTTAGCCATTACTCCAATGAGGGTGTTGCAAGATCCTCTTCTAGGACCAGCATGTAGAGCAATGTTTGAAGAAGGAGATGTAGATGACAGGTTGCTAATGATGCTGTTTTTGACCGTGGAGCGTTTGCGTAAGAATTCTCTATGGAAGCCGTATGTATGGTTGATTGTATTTTACTTGGGGAATCAGATTGTGTTGTAAGTTTCACTTGTGGAGTGGTTAAAACTAAATCAGGTACCTTGATATGCTTCCAACCACTTTTGGGAATCCACTTTGGTTTAGTGATGATGAACTTCAAGAACTAAGAGGAACAAACTTATATCGTGCGACAGAATTGCAGGTGATTTATCATGTGACTCGTTTTTTGTGAACTATTTACCAGTCTAATAGCAGTTGTGCTTTTCTCTTCAATTTGAAGGCATATCATGATGAAAAAACAAGACTGGTTATCCCTGTGTTGGCCTGTCTGTGTTTCCCAGAATTTAAAAGTGTCGTTTGTTTTGCCTTATATGTGCTTGTTTCCCATAATATCAGAAATTAGTTTGTGTGACCACTCTGTTCTGAAGCTTTTTATCTTTGGTCTTTGAGGAGTAATGATCAATGTGATATAATGGCATTGGAGGAGCATGCCCTAGATGCACTATAAAAATCACTTAAAAAACTCAAGCATAGTTTTCTAATGTGATCTCCATGATAGTGGATAAATATTTTATTTTTGTCTGATTTGACCTTCCAAGTAAACATGTTTAGTTTGTTTCATGGTGTTTGTCTGTTCGAGATAGAACCAGATGCCAAATTTCAACTCTGGTATTAACTTCTGGTCACCTGTTAAACAGTATATTCGATAAATGTCTTATCTTGCAGATGAAAAGCTTGCTTTCTTTGTTCGAAACTAAAGTGAAGGATATAGTGAAGAAACTTTTGACTCTTGATGGAAATTCAGAGATGTATGTGCTGGGTAAAATTGTATTTTTATTGATTATTTTATGTTTTGAAAATGGACAAGTTTACTCTTCTTGATATTTTGATGTCTTATGTTTAGAGCTAATTAATGTTGGATATATGGTGATGATTTTATTCTGGTTTTGGGATTGAGTCCTACACTTGTGAATGTATAATTTACTAGTTACTAGTTCACCTTACATCAAAGCTATTATGGCATTAAGAATTGAATGTGGATGTTCTATACTATGTTAAGTATGCATCTACTTTTCCTATTAAGTTCTATTCAACAATTTTTCATTCAGATGTAAGTAATCTATTTATTGATGTTCTAGAATATGGTCCTATTCAGGTTGTCAAAAATTGTGTAGGTTATAGAATCCCATTCAAGATATTGTCTATCTTTTTTGGTCATACTCTGCCTGAAGTACAAGAATATAGGATTTGATTGATATCTATGACATTCTATTCCATGCTATTTACATTGTCTTTTCAATATATCCCATGTCAATCTATAGTAAATATTTCGTTATATAACTTTGAACCATCTTCAGAATGATGACTTTAAATGCTTTAGATTTGTTTTCAAACAACCATTTGTTACTTGCTGGCTAAATTTAAACATACATTTACATTGCTTTTCTTCTGCCTGACCTTTTTGCAGTGAGGTGTTATTTGAAGATTTCCTGTGGTATGCAGTGTACTTTAGTGAGTTTTTATGGCTTCAACTAAATCTTTGGAGGTTGATAGTAGACTTGCCTTCTTGCTAGGGCGAACTCAATATTTTGGACCCGTGCTTTGAACATTCCAATGCCTCGATCTTATGTATTTCCAGGAATGCAAGATGATCATGACAGTTGCATACTAGAAGCCGATGGAAAGAGTAAGTTTGTCTTTTTCTTTCATTAATCTTCTACAAGAATTTTCTCTTCTGTTCTATGTCCAATTAAGAGTTCAGGAGTTAGTATTTGATAGAACACTTGAGGATGGGCTGATACAGCAGGAAAAAGGTAGTGGAGAAGATCGTGTTAGTGGAAGACCCAAAGTAGGAAGGTTTATTCTAGAAGAAAGAAAGCAGGCCCAAGGAATATTAATTAGTTAGGAGGGTAATGACGTGGAAAAGAATATGAAATTAGTGGGAATTCAAGTATTTGAGAGAGGAGGAAAGAGAGAGGGGTACGGAGAGTTTGTTATGGAATAGTTAAGGAGAGTTGTCTCTCTGGAGGAGTCATAGACTCTGGAAAGATATTATATCGTGTTGCACCTGGGTTGCCCATTTCATATATTCAATAATACAGTTTCCATAGACTATCATATTTTGCTCTGTTTTGATTTGATTTTTGTATCATATATGTCTACCATTGGTCCGACCTACTAGATCCTTTCGAGGAGAGCCCGCATAGTTACCTTTTTCCCATGCCCCCAAAGATGTCAGATAGAGTGGATGCTTTGGAGGAACATTTGACGACAATGGAGGCTTCAATGCCTCAATCGTTGGTGGAGTTCCGTCAATCCATGTTAGAGGAATTTTCCAGATTGCATACTGCACGTAATGAATAGCGGGTTTCGTCGTCTTTAGAAACAGAAGTGTCACCGGAGGATAGGATGATGGCAAAGAAGGTAGAATTGCCTTTATTCGGCGGAACTGATTCGGTAGGATGGATTACTCGCGCGGAGACATATTTCGAGGTTCAGGGGTTGAAAGGGGTAAATGAAGGTGCAATTGGCTAAGTTGAGCATGGAGGGGGCCATTATCCATTGGTTCAATCTCCTCCGCGATTCTTGTGAGGGTTTAACCTGGACGAAGTTGAAACGTGAGTTGATTGGGAGATACGGAGATGGACGGAGTGACAATCCCTACGAGGAGCTGAAGGACTTGAAACAAATGGGAAGTGTAGAGGAATATCTATCAGAGTTTGAAATTATTTCTTTCCAAGTATCACCCCTGTCAGAGGAACAATACTTGGGATATTTCATCGGTGGACTTCGATCGAAGATTTGAAGGCGTGTTCGCACTTTCAAACCTATCAACCGCTTAGAGACTATGCGAATCGCGAGGAACATCGAAATGGAGTTATACAGAGAATAGGGGGTAGAGGAGTTGGAGCACGAATGGGAAGAGGCGTTGCGAATGGGGGTCGAATAATCTAGATAGGAGTGGTACCGGATCAAGTTATAGCCCAAGTAAGATGGGCGTAGGAGTGGGCCCAAGTGTTAGAGCCTAATCCAAAGGATTCTCAAACGAAAGTGTGGCCCAAGGGGGGTCGAGAGCTGCTGGTTCACAAATGCAACGTGCTAACAATGATCGATTTTCTACATCTGAAAAGAATAGAAGTACTAAACATCCTTCTTATTCTGAGTTAATGAACCGTAAGGCACAGGGGTTTTGCTTCAAGTGTGGTGATAAATGTCATCCATTACACCAGTGTGCAGAACAACAATTGAGATTGCTAGTGTTGGGGGATGATGAAATAGTGAATGGGGAAAGAAATATTATCGCTAGTGAGGAGAAGGGAGTAAAAGGTAGAGTCCACGTTGGATTGCGGAGCTATGAGAATGTTTGGGGAGATTGAGATATATGGAATCGAAAGGATTATTCCTTCAACCTTATGATTGGAAGGCACAATTAATGGAGTTTCAATGGTGGTGTTGGTTGACAGTGGGGCGAGCCACAACTTTATATATCCTCAAGTAGTGGTAACATTGGGATTGGAAGTGGAGAACGAAAAGCCTATCGGAGTGCAATTGGGTGATGGCCATAAGATACCCACTTTGGGTAGATGCAAGCCTGTGAAAATCAAACTTGGAAATTTTCATATTGCTATAATACTGCATGTATTGGAGTTAGGAGGGTTGGATATGATATTAGGAGTAGCATGGTTACAAGAATTTGCTAAGGTGACTTTCAATTGGAAAATTAGGGTTATCAGTTTTAACTGGAAGGGATACCTAATGGAATTACAAGGGCAAAAAACATAAAGGAGATATCAAACAAAAATGGTGGCTTCTTTGCAAAGTTTAATGACTAAAAAGGAAAAAAAAAATTATCTAAGTATTGATAGGGGCTTGTCGACTATACAATTGAATGGGGTGCAACAACTGTTGTCTACTTTTGGAGTAGTTTTCAAGGAACCAAAAGGACTACCTCCAACTAGAAAGATTTCTCATTGTATTGAGTTGTATAAGGAAGTCGGACTTGTGAGTGTGCGACCTTACAGATATTCATATCATCACAAAGAAGAGATAGAAAAGCAGATGAGTGAATTGTTACAACAAGGAACTATCAGGCATAGCACAAGTGCTTTTTCGAGCCCAGTCATTTTGGTTAAGAAGAAGGATGCTTCATGGAGGATGTGTGTGGATTATAGAGAATTAAACAAGGTCACAGTGCCTGATAAATACCCAATTCCTGTGGTAGAAGAGCTATTGGATGAGTTGCATGGGGTTGCTTATTTTTCAAAATTAGACTTGAAGTCAGGGTATCACCAAATTAAAATGAAGGAGGAAGATGTGCACAAGATAGCTTTTCACACTCATGAGGGTCATTACGAGTACTTGGTAATGCCCTTTGGGTTAACTAATGCCCCAACCACTTTTCAATCAATAATTAATCAAGTATTCAATCCCTATTTACGGAAGTTTGTCTTAGTCTTCTTTGACGATATTCTAGTGTACAGCTGGAGGTGGCAAGACCACTTAGAGCATTTATCTCTAATGTTGCAATTGTTACAACAGCAAGCTTTTGTGGTGAATCAAAAGAAGTGTATGTTTGGAAGTAGACAAGTGGAATATTTAGGCCATGTAATTTCAGAACACGGAGTGGTAGTTGACCCTGAAAAAATCTGAAGTGTAGTAGAATGACCTATTCCTTGCAATGTGAAAGGAGTTAGGGGTTTTCTTGGGTTGACGGAATATTATCGAAAATTTATTGCTGGGTATGGAAGGATTGCCAAGCCTTTAACAGAACTAACTAAGAAGGATGAGTTTAACTGGGGACTCAACAGCATTAGCAGTATTTGAGGAATTAAAGAAAGTCATGACTCAAACTCTTGTTTTAGTCCTCTCGGACATTACTCAACCATTCGAAATTGAATGTGACGCTTCAGGAGAAGGAATTGGTATAGTGTTGATGCAAAACCGTAAACCCATTGCTTGCTTTAGTAAGGCATTATCACCAAATAACTTGAGTAAATCAGCTTATGAGAAAGAGTTAATGGCTTTAGTGCTAGCTATTCAGCATTGGAGCTTGGCAGAAGCTTCAAAGTTTATTCTGATCAACGAAGTTTTGGGTATTTGCTGCAACGGAGAATAACCACAGCAGAACAACAGAATTGGATAGCTAAATTGTTGGGATTCAATTTGAAGTGATTTATAAACCGGGCCCTGATAATAAAGTTGTTGATGCATTGTCACGGGTGTTTGAAGATGGTTAATTAAGAAATTTGATTTCTTTTCCAATATGGTTGCAGGGATAGCAGGTACAGGTGGAGCAACAATCAGATTGTTTTCTTAAAAGGGTGGTGGAAAACATTCAGCAAGATGCTAATCCTAAACATGGGTTCAGCTGACAGCAGGGCATATTGTTGCATAAGGGATCAGCAGGGCATATTGTTGCATAAGGGACGATTAGTTTTGTTAGCAACGTCTCCTTTGATTCCACACATTTTAGAAGAATTCCATGCATCTCCTGCAGGGGGACATTCGGGTTTTCTGCGAACATATAAACGGGTTGTTGAAAATCTATATTGGGTTGGCATGAAGAAAAGGGTGCAAGAATTTGTTAAGCAATGTGATATATGTCAAAGGAAAAAGTATGCAGCAACATCTCCAGCTGGACTCTTACAACCATTACCCATATCTGACTACGTTTAGGAGGATATTTCCCTTGACTTTATAATGGGGTTACCCAAATCAAAGGGATTTGATGTTGTGTTTGTGGTAGTAGACCGGTTGGCAAAGTATGGGCACTTTATACCTCTCAAACATCCATATACGACAAGAAAGGTAGCAAAAATATTTGCTAAGGAAATTGTGAGGCTCCATGAGGTACCTAATTCAATTGTGAGTGACCGAGACCCCTTGTTTATGAGCTTATTTTGGCAAGAGTTGTTTCGTTTATAGGGTACTGTATTAAAGATGAGCTCATCTTATCATCCCAAAACGGACGGTCAAACGGAAGTGGTGAATAGGTGTTTAGAGACTTAAGTGAGGTGTTTTGTATTGGAGCAACTTAAACATTGGGTGGATTGGATACCATGGGCTGAATTATGGTACAATAACACTTTCCATGTGACTAAGGGAAAAACACCATTTGAAGTGGTATATGGGAGAGCACCTCCTCCGTTGGTTCGCTTTACCCAAGGAGAAACAAATGTGGAGGCTATGGCAGTAGAATTAGTCAATCATGATGAAGCTCTGCGACAATAAAAATATCATTTGCTGCATGCTCAACAACAGATGAAGAAGTATGCAGATAGGAAACACAAACCGGTGGAGTTTGAGGTAGGAGAATGGGTATTTGTAAAATTGCAACCAAATAGGCAACGGTGGCACGTCGCATTAATCCAAAGTTGGCAACTCGTTATTATGGACCATTTTCTGTGATGGTCAAGGTGGGAGTTGTTTTGTATAAGTTGAAGTTACCTGAGACAGCTAAAGTGCACCCAATATTTCATGTATCACAGCTGAAACGGGTAGTGAGAGATTATTTTGCAGCTTGTGAATTGCCTGCAGAATTGGAATTGGAGCAAGAAGATTTGAAGGAACTGGAGACGGTTTTAGCAACACGAGAAATTATGAAAAAAGGGCAGCAAATTAAGCAGTGGCTGGTGCGTTGGAAGGGCAGAACTACAAAAGAAACCACTTGGACAGATACATTATTGCTCCAGAGTCAATTTCCTCATCTTCACCTTGAGGACAAGGCGATTTTTGGAGGAAGGGATAATGATAGAACAGTTGAGGATGGGTTGATACAGCAGGAAAAAGGTAGTGGAGAAGACCGTGTTAGTGGAAGGTCCAAAGTATGGAAGGTTTATTTTAGAAGAAAGAAATCAGGCCCAAAGAATATTAATTAGTTAGGAGGGTAATGACGCGGAAAAGAATCTGAAATTAGTGGGAATTCAAGTATTTGAGAGAGGAAGAAAGAGAGAGAGGTACGGAGAGTTTGTTATGGAATAGGGTACAGAGAGTTGTCTCTCCGGAGGAGTCATAGACTCTGGAAAGATATTACAATACAGTTTCCATAGACTAGCATATTCTGCTCTTTTATTATTTGATTTTTTTTTATCATATATATCTATCAGTATTTCTATGAATTTGAGTGTTCAAAGTTGCATTAAAATTTATTGCAGGAAGCCAGGTTAAAAAATCTAACCATCTGACCAAGGAAATGACATGTAATAGTAACACCGTGACAGGAGAAACTGTTTGGGTAGAGGGTCTTGTCCCTGGCATTGACTTTTGTAACCATGGTAATTGTTTTGCTTGAACCCCTAATATTTATTTCAATTCCCCTGTACTGTGCTGTTCATTTCTTCAATTATTTTTTTATTGTTTCCCTTTAGAGATTGTTTGACACAAAACCCATTCTTAGACCTTCGCCAACAGCTTATAGATTTTGGTCAATGAATTTCTTGACATCATATCAAAGCCTATATGAACAAACAGCTTAGATAACAATCCTTGTTGCCCCGTTTCTGATAAATTTTGGTGCAAATTCTGAAGTGATAATTGCCACGTGTTCAGGAGGGCATATTACATTGATAAATGGGAAAGATTAATGAAATATTTGTATCATAAACATGTACTGCTGGTTTTGTGCCAGGGTGTGTTTCTTAATGTAATATATGCTAGATATATCAAATGCCTTATTTACCTTGATCTTATGGCTAATCAGATCTGAAGCCGATAGCGACATGGGAAGTTGATGGAACTGGTTTAGCAACTGGGGTTCCTTTCTCTATGTATCTTATTTTGGGTAACAATTTTTCTTTTACTGTTCATTGTCCTTGTTAACATCCAAAAAGTGTTTTCTACTTTTGTGCCTCTGCAGGTGTTGGTTCTTTCAAATTTGTATTTAATTTATAATTTTCTTTCTCTCTCCATGTCAGTAGTTTCATAACGTGATATGTCATGAAACTAGTCCCCTTAATTCTATTCTTTTCTTGATTGCGAAGCTGCTCAAAGTCCCTTGCAGAATGACCAAGAAATTTCCATTAGTTATGGAAACAAGGGAAATGAGGTACTTTATATTGTTCCGTGGTTTCAAAAAAATGAAACCATTTTCCTATATTATTTTTTATATTCTAACTTACTTTTCTGTTCTATTTTTACCATTCATTTTAAGCACCAATTTTTTGGCTGCAAGCAGAGAGGTATGCAAGGGGAAATAGGGTTTTTCATGTGGCAACCACTGGTGTAATGTCTTGTTGGCAGTTTATTCAACTTCACTGTAAAAGGTTTCATTGAATCAGATGCATAATTCCCTTGTCAATAAACTGCAACAATGCGTTTCCCTGTAGATTTGGCCCTTTAACTTATTTGAGTTCACATGTAACACATTTTATATATGACGTAATTGCACATTTTACTGCCCAACTATCATCATTTTGCAAATTTTATCATCTAAGGTTTTTTCTCGCATAATTTGCTATCATAGTTTTTAACTTTCAACAAGGTTGTGATTTGTCCCAAAACATGATGTTGTTTTGTAACCATTTAATCGTAAAACATGATGAGAAAATGCGTACAAATCAGAAAATATGATTGTAAAATGTGCATAGTGGCCATGATGATGCATCAATAGTGGTCATGATGGTGGAAACAAAACAAAGACGACGGTGATTTTGGTAGCGGACAACAATAACTGTGGTGGTTTGGTGGCCATGTCAATGGTAGTAGTGATTGCAACAACGACAAAGATCATGGTGGTGATAAGTTAATCATAATCTTAATGAAAATTGATATGATAATTATGATATTTTATAATGATATAATTGAGATCTTTTAGAGATTATATTTCCGTTATGTGAATGCAAACCTTACGTTAGAAGTCAGTTTTGTAAGATTGAGATAAGCCTAGATTTATTTTTTACGATAGTATCAAGACTGGTTGTTGATATTGTGGAAAGGGCTACCTAGAAGGCTTGTGGCCTGTGGAGGGTTCTGATCAATAGGGATTTGAGTGAAATGTGTGCAAATATAATTTTAGAAGTCGGTTTTATAGGATTGACTTAGGTCTAACCAACTTTGTAAGAAGTATAAGTTACTTTGAAGCTTAGTTCAAGTACTAATAGTTTCCATATTTTTCCACTTGGTGCAGGAACTTCTCTATCTTTATGGTTTTGTCATTGATGAGAACACTGATGACTATGTCATGGTAATGGCTTATACTTAGACCTTGTGCACCCTGAGTAAAAAATCTCTTTATTCTTTAACATGTTACTCCCCCTTTCTTAATTGTTCTTGTCAGCATAATTCAGTTTTTACTTTCAAGTAGCCTTTTTGTGTTCTTCTTTTTAATTATGGCTACGACCCCCATAATAGCATTTCATACTTTGACCGTGTTGTTTGGTCCTCCAGGTCCACTATCCAGCAGAAGCAATGAATACTATTTCCTTTTCAGACTCCAAATGCCAGCTTCTTGAAGCTCAGGTATGCTAATAATTTATCTTGACCTTTCTGTTATAAAATTTCTCCCTTTTGTTGTAATTAAACTTTCTTTTTCTTTATATGTTTACAGAATGCTGAAATGAGATGTCTTTTACCCAAAACGTTGCTGGATAATGGATTTTTTCCACTGGGGACCCAAAACAGTGGAGAAGATAACAAGGGAAAAGCTGACCAAGTTTGCAACTATAGTTGGAGCGGTCAGCGCAAGATGCCGTCTTATGTAAACAAGCTGGTGTTTCCTGAGAAATTTATGACTACTTTGAGAACCATAGCCATGCAAGAAGAAGAGCTTTACAAGGTTTCATCAATGCTGGAAGAGGTTCAGTTTCTATACAATATTTTACTTCATATTTCGCTTGAAATGTTAGACTATTGACTCCTACCTTTCTCATTGAAACTGTATTTTCTCTTCCTTTATTTAGTTTCTATCTAGTTTTACCTTCCTACCCCTTCCATTAGTTAACTACGGGTTAAATAACCTGGCTACTTGACATTTGATTCCATTTTTTCCATCATGGGGACAATGACAACCTCTTGTTTTTGAAAGATAAAAAACCCTTGTCTTACCTACAGTTAAATTGCTTACAACTTATCAATATTCGGACAGATGCTAAATGAAAATATGGAAAGTTAGATTAAATGAAATCTGATTTTATTATTTTTCATACAAGATATATACAAGAGATCTAAGCTATTTTAGGAAATATAATAACTGTATTTTATTCTAGGATCCCTTGATTTATGAGATTGTTCCTAATTGTTCAAATCTGTACAGATTACAAAGAAGTATACAAATTTCCTAATTTATTCTTTTCTAAAATACTATTTGATTTCCCACACTCCCCCTCAAGCTGGTGAATAAGTGTTTTCCATTCCCAGCTTGGATACAATCTTCTCAAAATTGTGGCAGTCCAGTCCCTTGGTAAGAATGTCTGCAATTTGGTCTTGAGAGGACACATATGGAGTGCATATCAAGCCACTATCAAACTTTTCTTTGATGAAGTGTCTGTCTACTTCAATATGCTTTGTTCTATCCTGCTACACTGGATTGTGGGTTATGCTGATTGTTGACTTATTATCACAATAGAGCTTCATAGGTTCTTCCTATTTTATCCTCAAGTCTTCTAAGATGATTTTAAGTCATAGCAACTCACATATACCTTGTGTCATTGCTCGGAATTCCGCTTCAGCACTGGACCGAGCCATTACAACCTACTTTTTGCTTCTCTAGGTCACAAGATTTCCTCCAAGAAAGGTGCAATATCCTGTAGTTGACCTCCTATCCACAATTGACCCTGCATAATCAACATCAGTATAGGCATCAAGCTTCACATTACCATTCCTTTTAAATAGAATCCCTCTTCCTGGAGTTCCTTTAAGGTACTGTAAAATTTTGTGGGCAGCTTGTAAATGGGTCTCCTTTAGGCTATGCATAAATTGGCTAATTAAACTCTATGCGACAAATATATAAGTTTGTCCATTAATCGCTGGTACATATCTTTTTCAACAGCAACATCTTCTGCATTTCCAAGCTTTAAGTTTGGTTCTAATGGGTAACTAGCAGGTTTGCAAGCTGCCTTGCCAGTTTCCTTGAGCAAATCATTGATGTATTTCTACTGGGATATAAATATCCCTTTCTTGGAGTGGGCAACTTCAATTTCCAAAAAATATTTTAGTTTTCCCAAGGTCTTGATCTCAAATTCCTTGCCTAAGCATTGACTCAACAATTGCTGCTCTTCTTTTTTATCTCCAGTTAATATTATGTCATCTACATACACCAATAATATTGTTACTCCCCCTGACTTAGAATGTTTAAAGAACAAAGTATGGTCCCCTTAGCTTTGTTTATAACCCAGACCTGTCATAACTTTAGTAAACCTGTCAAACCATGCACGGAGGGACTGTTTTAGTCCATATAATGTATTTTTCAACTTGCAAACAGTGTTGGCAGCATCATCTCTACCATATCCCGGAGGTATCTCCATATAAATTTCTTCTTCAATGTCTCCATATAGGAAAACATTCTTAACATTAAATTGTTCCAAGTTCCAATCATAATTGGCAGCAAGGGACAATATCACCCTAATTGTGTTCATTTTGGCAACCGGAGCAAATGTCTCCAAATAATCAACTTCATAGATTTGCGTGAACCTTTTGGCAACTAATCTTGCCTTATATCTCTCAATTGATCCATCAGCCTTGTATTTCACTGTATAGACTCACTTATATCCAACTGTCCTCTTTCCTATTGATAAGGTGACTAACTCCCAGGTGTTGTTCTTCTCCAATGCCTCCATTTTCTGTCAGACAATGTCTCAGATAGGATATTAGGCAGAAGTGCAGTGTTTAGGTTTACTAGGAAGGTTTTATGGGTAGGAGAGAAATTTTTAAAGGACAGGTAATTTGAGAGAGGGTAGAGTGGTTGTTTTGATGCATTTTCTTGTCCCTTTTCTAATGACAATTGGGAGGTCAGAATCATTTTGGGCTTCAATTTCAACTTGCACAGCTGGAGAAAAAATCGTTACCTCTTTTTGTGGAGTCGAGTTGGATTCTTGAACATGGCCTGATCCTGGAATGACCTTAGTTTTCCTTGAGTACACCCCTTGATCAGCTTCACAATTAATTTCACTTTCTTGACCAACTTCCTTTTCTTGACTAATTCCTTGACCAGCTTCACTTCCTTGACTTGTTTCACTTGTTACAGCTTCAACTTGATCTCGTTTAGGTTCAAATATCAAGTCTGGAAGAATGGGAAAACCAGAATTACTACTTTCCTTATCTTCCCTGAAACTCTCCCCCTAAAGATAAGGTTGATGGAAATAACTCTCTTGTTCATTGAAGGTAACATCCCTAGACACAGAATTTTTTGGATGGGGGGTGGTAGCATTTATACCCTTTCTGAGTGGATAAGTAACCAACAAAGATACACTTTAAGGCTCTAGGATCAAGTTTCCCCTGTCTGTACTATGAATATGGACATATGAGATGCACCCAAAAACTATTGGTTTAAGATTTTTTGTAGTGGACAGGTTTGGATAGAAAGACGACAAAACTTCCATAGGGCTTTTTGATCTTAAGACTCTAGAGGATAGTCTATTGATAAGGTATGTTGTTGTAAGGATAGCTTCCCCCCAGAAATTTTTTGGGACATTTTTTTGGAACAACAATGCCCGAGTATGATTTAATAGATGTCCAGTTTTCCTCTCTGCGACCCCATTCTGCTGTGGTGTTTTGACACAAGAGGACTCATGAATTATACCTTCTTTTTGACAAAAAGAATTAAGGACATGATTGAAGTAATCTTTGGCATTATCTGACCTAAGCCTCTTAATATTTGTTGAAAGTCTCACATCGCCTACCTCATGTCATTTGGTATGATTTAAATACATGTTAGGCTACTCCACATATTGCCAATTGGTTTTATGTTGGAACCTTAGCATGGTATCAGAACCAAAACCTAACATCTTTCTGGTTATTGTCGTGGGCCAAAAGTTGCCCTTTTGTTGGGTCAAAAGTACCCTTTGCCTGGTCCGGCAAGCCTCGTTGGAGGGGGTGTGTTGAAAGTCTCACATCGCCTACCTCATGTCATTTGGTATGATTTAAATACATGTTAGGCTACTCCACATATTGCCAATTGGTTTTATGTTGGAACCTTACCAATATTAACACCAAACTGATTTTTTATCAAGGAGTGGAAGTTTAGGAAGATAGAACTAAATTCTGATTTTTGTTTAAGTAGAAAAACTCAAGTGACCCTTGTACAATCATCTATAAAGGTGACAAACTATCGAGCACCAGACACATTTGGAACATTAGAAGGTCCCCATACATCAATATCAACAAGATAAAAAGGAAAATTGTTAATTTTATTACTTATTGGAAAAGATATCCGCTTGTGCTTAGGAAGTTTACAAACCTCACAATAAAGACTCTCAACATCTAACTTGGTAAACAGAGAGGGAAACATAATTTTGATCACTCCAAAAGAGGGATGTCCCACCCGACAATGATAAAGCATAATTTTTTCTCTGTTGGTCATCAAGGATTCAGATATGAAGGAGTGAAAGATTCTGTTCTTGCTAGACAGACTTGGATCTTCAAGATAATAAAGGTCATTCCATTCTCTAGCATGTTCAATCATCCTCCCCGAATCCTTGTCTTGAAATACACAATGATTTTTGATAAAAACAACTTTACATGACAAATCCTTTATAAGTTTTTGTATAGAGACTAGGTTGATGTACAGATTTGGGACATGGAGAGCATCTTTTAAGGTTATTAAATGATTGATTTGGATATTTCCTTAACCAGCTACAGTTATAAGGGTTCCATCTGCTGTGGCAATTTTCTTATTACTGGGACATGGGGAATATGTGGAGAAGTGTTTGGTTAATGGTGTCATGTGGTCTGTGGCTCCAGAGTCCAACATCCAATAATGGTTAAAAGGTGAATCTAAGACATTTAATCCAAAAGAGAGTGGAAACTTACCTGAGTATGCCAAAAAACACACACCTGTAGGTTTTTCCAGCTTACTAAGAAAGATTCTCACCCTTTCTATCTCCTCTTGGTTAAGATGGGCAGCAGCTTCTGGATTATTTCCTTTATTTGTTTCAGCAGCAACATAAACTTGTCCTCCTTTCCTTGAGGGACCTCCTCAGTGTCCCCCTTCTTAGTCTCGATTTAAAGGCTTCCCATGTAACTTTCAGCACTTCTCTCGGATATGACGAGGCTTATTGCAGTAGGTACACCAGAGACCATCACCTTTCTTCTCCACATTTGTCGATCCTCCTTTCTTCTGTTCGGCTACCATGGCCAAAGTCTGATCTCCTCTATGGTCAGTCACCATTGTTGAGTTTTCTGTTGTTGGACTCTCTAACATGAAACCCCTTGACATTATAGCAAGAAGGTGCGATACAACAGCAATGCAGGCTGCCGTCTTAGGGTTTATAGTACGCAGACAGAGCTTCCTAAATCGGAAGCTCTAATACCATCTGAAAAATTAAATTAAATGAAATCTGATTTTATTATTTTTTATACAAAGAGATCATACAAGATATATACAAGAGACCTAAGCTATTTTAGGAAATATAATAACTCTATTTTATTCTAGAATCCTTTGATTTATGGGATTGTTCCTAATTGTTCAAATTTGTACAGATTACAAGAAAATATACAAATTTCTTAATTTATTCTTTCCTAAAATACTATTTGATTTCCCATAGAAAACAATTGACTGTATAGTCAATGCTGAGCATGTGGCAATCCATTGTAATACAAGTAATTTTCGAGATCAAATACAATGTACTAGTTTTATTAATTATTTCATAATTTTCAACAAAACCTCATTGATGCATTAATAACATTCAGTTTCTGCTTTTAATTATTTTGGAATTCATTTATTCAATTATATAACCATATTTAGCACTGGCGAATTAAAGGTGGTCAATTACAAGTCCTTCCTACCTTTTCCTTCCTTTGATTGTTGGCTGATTTTAAGCTTGAGATAAAATGAGATCAATTTATTATTACATTATTTATCAATTTGAGTTGTTTATGTTCATGCTTTTTACGAAGCTTGCTGGACCTGAGAGGAAGAGAGAACTATCAGATACAGATGTCCAATCAGCAGTATGGGAGGTCTGTGGTGATTCTGGAGCTTTACAATTGCTTGTTGATCTTCTTCGTGTGAAGTAAGTTTCAGGAATTACATAGCCATAACTGTTGATTGATAGGATTATGTTAATTATAAACTGAAATATTTTTTATGCATGTGATTGCCACATGATTCTGCAAATGATGCGTGAATCTCCTTTAATGCATCATTTCATTTTTTGAGTGAATAAGGACACACTAAAACATCAACATTGATGCTCTTATGTGCAATGCCTAACTGATTTCACTGCATTCAAGGTTGATGAATCTTGAAGAGGCTTCTGGAACAGATGAAAATGACATTGATTTGCTCAAGAAAGCCATTATTATTGATAGCCAAGAAGATAGCAAACAATGCATGAGCAATTTAAGGTAGAAACTAGTATACTTGATTATAGCATTCATATATTCCTAAAACTAGTATACCTATCTTTTTTTTTTCAAGGGTACAAGTACCTTAACTGAGTCGTCCATCATTTCTTTCTAGTTAATTACTAGATTTTCGAAGGCCATACTAAAATCTTAAGCTACCAACCAACAAATATTTGACAAGTCACATTGGTTAGTGCAGCCTAATGACATAAGCACTTATGCTAGTGTTTAGGAGTTAGACGAACTTAGACAAATAATTTATAGACTTAAACATGTTTTTATTCTTGATAAATTACTAAATTTTATTTTTGGTTTTTAATAATTTTTGCTCAACTTTTTCGTCTTAAATGACTTTTTTACTTTGCTTTTGTCCAAAAAAGTTATCTAAACATTTTTATTTATCATTTAAAACGCTATCTAAACAAATTTAGAGACAAAAGCAAAGTAAAATAAATTATTAATGACAAAAAGTTAAGAAAAATTATTAGGAACCTAAAATTTATTAGTCTTAACATATTTAAGCCTAATTTATAATGTTTTTGTTTGCAACTTATTTCAACATGTTATCGATATATCTTATGTAAACAATTAGTTTAAGTCTATTTTCTTTTTTATTATAGAAACAACTTATACATATTTGTTTAATAAACGCTTAATTAAGTTGTTTATCTGTACACCATTTCAATCTATAATTTTCTTCTCTATATATTGTCTTTGTAATAGATTTTTTATTCTCTTCCCCCAAATTTCAGCACAAAGACAAATGACTCGGAGGAACCAAAGTTGATGACTAGAAACAAGTGGTCTGCTATAGTGTATAGGCGTGGACAGAAGCAGCTGACAAGGTTATTCTTGAAAGAAGCAGAACATGCTTTGCAGTTATCACTGAATGAAGAAGAGGTGACTTCTCCTTGATAACCATGTCACATTCTTTAGTCCTATTCTTGTACCCTCATCTTAACCAATGTTATTTGGATAGAGGATTGAGCCATAGTTGCTGCTTACTATAAACATCTAAGTCAAATCTCTTTCTTTTGAGCACTTAAAATCTCAAGTTATATATAGTTCACTCTTTTTCTTTCTGATTAATTTTTAAATTGGCCAAGTGCTTATAGGCACAAATAATTAAAAGCTTAAGATAAATTAAAATAACTGTAAACACTATTCATGCAAAAATTGATCTTCATTTATGTTCTACACTTAGTCATTTATGTGTTGTTTAGCTCTATTTTATTGTGCCTAATGAGTTTGAATTTTGTTAATTCTCTCTTTAGTTTTTAAACCAGATTAAAAAGTATGAAAAAATGTAATTAGTTAAAAAGAAAACAGATTACGAACTTATCTACGTAATTTGATAGAAAATAATTAACTTTATATTTGTAACATTTTAATGCTTTGCTTCCTGTATCTAAACAGTACCCGTTTTAATCTTCAAATATGCAGTTTTAATTTTCTAGTTTTCATCATCGATTGTATCTTAACAACAAATTTCTGCTAGAAAATTTGGTGGCATTTACGCTAGCAATTTTATTTTATTTTATGGTAATATTAGTTAATAGAGTCTAGACTTATTTATCACAGAAACCAAAATAAAATTAAATACATAGAAACTAAAATGTGTAATTTTAAGTATAAAGATTAAATCATAAAAATGAGAAAGCATAATAATAATGTAATGCACAAAAATTTGTGACATTCTGTGATCCACAGCTCTGGTTTTCTCTGTGATGTCCCACGTCCAAAAGCCTTCAATGTGTCCGAAGGGTAGGTTGTGTGCAATTAAATTAATATCCTTTGTGGTACATTGATAATGAAAGCTATCTTATGATAAAATGGAGTAAGCATTTTTTTTTAATAAATTAAATAAATCTGAGTTTAATTTTACAAGTAACTTGATAAAAAAAAATGAAAAAAAAACTATATTTATAATTATTTGGATAAAAGTACTTTTTTTTTGCTATATTTGGATAAATAGCAAGTTCATAAACTATCCAAAATATAAATATCAAACATATATGGCAGAACTTGGACTTTGCCCTAGCCATGGTATAAAAACTAAATTTATCCAAAAGTGTTTTCAGATCCATTAAATTCAACTATAGCTATTTATCAACTCTCTAATCCTGCTATATGCTTAAGCAACCATCCTACTAAATAAGCAGAAGCTGCAGCTGTGGCACCACTTAAAAGTGTGACAGACACAGAGAAGATGATGTTTTGGCCAGCAATCCTTGCCTTTGCCACCCCAAGAAGAGCAAGGGCAAGTGCAGAAACAAGGCAAGCACCAACAAATTTGATAGAGTCACTGTCAGTGAATGGTATTAGGACGATGAAAGAGAGCAAAGGAGCTGAGCCGAAGAGCATGAAGGATGCAAAGGTCACAAGGCCATTCTTCCAGGGCTTCACTTCTTGGTCTGCAGGCAACACTCCCTTGTCTGCCATCATTCTCTGATCCACCAGGATGTCTTTGTACTTTGTGAATATGTTCACAACCTTGCACCAAGTAACAAAATTCAGCCAATTTTAGAACTTAGATGCAATTTAGCTAGGACAATGTAATAAACTTTGACTCTAGATAAGTTTTGCTATAAATGTCTCCCCTCTCAAACACTTTCTCTAGCACCAATTTTAACATTGGTTAAATTTAATGAAAATCACAAAACTAAGATAATGTAATACCTATCAAAAAATTTATTCAGACTAAACTTCAACTAATAATAGTGTCTTCAAAAAGTGTTGCTAGCATTTTTCATGTACCAAGAGTAAGTCTTTTATTATGTGTGGTAACTTTGTTGATTTTTATAATAATTACTTGAAAGTAATATCAGTGATAGTTTCTGATGGTTAAATAAAGGCGTAAACTTAGAGATGTATGTGAAACTCTAGTTTTATTTCAAATGGTAGGTTTTTCTCATGCATACCATGGTTGCATCATTGCAGTCCATCCCAAGAGCTTGATAGTGTTTGGCTAACTCTGATTGCTCTTTGCTCCTTTGGTTGATGACATCCCATTCTGTCACTCTCCTTTCCTCAATGATCACTTCCTGCTCAGAGCTAGCAGACACAAAGTCCCCAAACCCCATCGATATTGCATCTGCCACCAGGTTTGAGAACCCCAGAACCAGCACATGCCCTGCATTCGAAGTTTAGCATATAAGTTGAAATAGCAACTATTCTATATATTTGCATCAATAGCCTGACTGTCAGTCTCAGTGTTTCTGACAAACATCAATTGACAATTGCATACATACTGACAAGAACCTTAGCTACACAACATAATTTTCTTGTCATTGGAAAGCCTACAGTTGTAAATTGAAATCCCACAATCGCCATTGTAAAAATTAATGTAATTTGTTGCAAAAAGGACAAAAACTGCAATTACATGCAATCATGGCACTGTAAATCCCTTTTACCTCCATAAAATAACCAATAGGTCTTTTATTCTCTACAAAAGATATTTGATTATGAACAAATTTAGATTGGATGTAATTAAAAAGCAAAAAATCCATTGATATTAAGCATATTTATTATTGTAATGACTGTTAATATCACATGAATACTATAACTAATCATAAATTAACACAAACATGCATAATGTATAAGCTCAATTAACATATCTAGGTTCCATTTCCAGATTATATCCTTTGAGTGATTACCAACTTAAAGGATCAAAATTTCTAAAACCCAAAGTTGCGTCAAAAGATCAAATACCCTACTTACATTTTAAGAAAAAATGACATATACATACCTGAGGATCTAGTGCTAGCATTGATGGAAGAAATGAGAGAAAAGCAAGTGATAATGGCATCAAGCCCTGCAAAAACTATGCTCTTTACATATTCACCTTTCCAAGGCTCTCTTGGTCTCTCACTACTCTTCCTTTTTGAGTCACCACCGTCCTCCGCCGCCGCAGTCTGGAGGAGCCTTGTGGTGGTGCCACCTCTCTCACCCATTAGAACTCAAGCCTTATTTTGTTTTTTTATTACTTTTGGAACTTTGTGGTGTATGCTATAGCGGGAAAAAAATTGAAATTGTTTTAATTTAACTAGTGATTGTTGATAGTGACTGATTCAGGTGAGAAATCTCAAATTGGTGTCAGAATGCATGCGATTGCACAAACACGTTGACAATGAGTGGAGTTGTTTTTCAGTTTTTGATTGACACGTTTCCATGATGATTCATCACCACATGCTCACCGTTCCACCTTAAACAGCACTTCTCATCTTCTGCAAACTAACAAAGCAAAACACATGTTATTTATTTGGTTATAATAGTTCTTTTCTTTTTTGTTTTTCAGAATTAAGCAATTGACTTTTAAATAAAATAAAAAACATTGACTGGATGGGATACTTTAGCAAGTAAAGTACCAATTTAATTATTCAAATTATAAGTTAAAATTAATTAAATAATAAAGTAGTTCATAAAATTGTGCATCATCAAATAATTTAGTTGGATCAAATTGATCTATAAAACAAAAAAAACTCCTTAAATTATAATTTTTCAATAATTTAATTCTTATGATTATAAGATAATTTGTTCTTATTATAAAAGTTTAACTATACTTTATTCTTTTTAATTCACTAGTCATTTATATATATATATATATATATATATATATATATATATATATATATATATATATATAAATGCACTAAACCTTTAGAGTTAGAGAATAATTTGTTTTATAATTTAAGAACTTAATTGATTGATAATTTATAATTTTTATAAGTTATATTTTTTGTTTTATTTATTTTAAGAATCAATTAGGTTTTGCTTTACAATATTAAAGTTTAAATTGATTGATCTATAATTTTTGAGATTATTTTATTATTTTCAAAGATTAATTTGCATAAATATTAATTTTCATCAATAAGCAAAATTTATTATAAATTATAAATCGAATGAAAAAATTTTGATTTTCTAAATGTAAATGTATTTTAAGTAGGGTTTAATTTTTTAAATAAACGATAAATACAAAAATAAATCAAGATAGAAGTAAAAAAAAAGGCATAGTTTCTAACTTCATTAAAAAAATAATGAAATATCTATTATTATTAATATCTCTAATTTTTTAAATTAATAAGATGATTATTATTAAGTAATTTAAATATATTAATATATTTTTATACTATACGGTTATAAATATATAAAAAGCTTATTAATTTATAACAACTACTATAAAACTATGTTTGAAAATAAGTTATAACTAATTGAGAACATGAAAATTAAACTCAATAAAAAAAATAAAGAAAATAAATTATTTTTAAATATTATTTTTAAATTTAGTTACTCAGTTGATTCAGGTGGAAAATTTATTATGTCGCTTGTGTCATTAAATTTAGGTTTAGAAAAAACAGAAGCTATAAATGAAAGTTAATGAATTAAATATGACACTTTCCATTAGAAAAATAATATAAAATGCTAATTGGACATCAAATTATTTTCTCTTTCTTTTAAAGTAATATGAAAATACTAAGAAATTGTGAATTTAAAAATTATATGACTTAAAAAATAAAAATTGCATTCTTTTGGACATATTAAGCTAAACCAAGGGCCTCCTTTCGTCATCTTCCCTCTTTGAATTTGGCAGATTCGCCAACTCTTCATCACCACTGGATCTTGCAGTGTTGTCCCTTGGAGAAGAATTCAAGACCCTCTTGGTGCTGTTGAATTTGTTTTCAGGCAGCATCTTCAATGTGATCCCCATAGCTATGAGTAGAAGTCCACTCCCATGTTGTTCTGTTAATGGTTTTGTGAATATCAAGTATGACAATAGCAATGTCACAGCTTTTCTTGCTGTTGTTATCTGTGACAATGTTCAATGAGGTAAATCAGGATCACATAATGTGATTAGAGATGAATTTTCTAACACCCCATATGCTGGTTTTTTCATATTTATGGCACCAATGAATGATTGACTCAAATTAAAGGTTGAATGAAAGTAGATATTGTTATTGATTTTGGTTTTCACTTCATCTCATTTGTGACTAATAACAGACAACACTTCATTTCCGACTAATCAGGCATTGGAACTGACGTAGTCAGTGAAGACTCACATGAATTTCACCTAATACTATAAATAGAGTGCTAAGAAATGTGACTCTAATATCTATCACTATGCCTGAACAACATTCAATTCATGTTCAGTTTTTTAATATAAAAGGGTTAAATGTTTGGTTATTTAATAACATTTCAGAGTAAGAAGGGCATGGAGAATGGTGTGTTTGGTTTTTCACATGGGACTTATTAATGTTAGACAGTGTAAAATGGTCCAAACTGACATGACAATAAAGGAAGTAAAATCATGTGAAAGCAATTTACCATGGCTGTGGTGGCAGCACCAAAGATGGCAATGAGGGAGAGGACCGATACTTGGCCTATAAATGTGGCCATTGCTTCAAAAACCAAGACTCCATACACATAGGGATGCTGCAAGTACAAGAAAAAAGTTATTCTGTTTAGAAAAAAAGCATAACATATTACTAGAGTGGAAAAGGGGCAGTGTTTATTCCAAAATTACCTGTGAACATGACGTCCATGCTTGGAATAATTCTCCTGTGAAAAGCATGGGTGGGATTAGGAAAGGCAAACCCACTACTGTTGAGCAAAAGAGCATCTCCATCTGTGTTAACAATGACAAAAGTATTAGAAATCTATGTGGCTTAAACTATTACACCAATAAGTACTAATAGGTAGTTATAAAAGATGAAAATAAAGCCTATGTACCTTAAATAGAGCCTAAATCACATATTTGACATAAAAAGTCATGCACCTTAAAAGGCACAAAGAGAGGATAGAAAGAGATGAAAATCACCTGTGTGGTCTCAGGGTTCATGGTGAATATTGCTTCTTGAAGATTTCCCAGGAAAGAGTCCATGATCAAGGCTCCAGATATCATAACTACACCAATGACACTGAAATTTGGTGATGTTTGTGCATCTGCTAGTGTGAACAGGATCAAGCCAACTACAAGAAGTATTGCAGATATATATTCATGCGGTGGATACTTCCTTCTCAGACCAGGAATGAAGGCACCCATTATCATCACTGGCAGAACCTATTACACAAAAAACTAGTTCAGTTACATTGGAATGTTCAATGGTCAGTTAGCTACAACAAGGTGACATAGTTTTAGGGGCCAAAAGCCAGGATTTGGAAGCATTGAACTGTAGCTGATATTCCCTTTATAAGTAACTTAGGAATAAGCTAAAAACTCATTTAAGGTGTTTCAACTGTAGCTGATGCAGAGATGTTTCCTTCAAAAACGGGTAAAGTAATGATATGATGGAATTTTTTTTCCATGTGCTTTTGTCACTTACCTTTGTGGATTTGAACATGATTTGTGCAGGGTAGTTAAGAAAAGCTAAAGAACCCTTTGTTAGGCCATGAGAACCCATAAGAACAGCAGAGAGCTTCACATAAGTTTTCCATGGATTCACCATTTGCTTGCTTGTGAAGCCTTGGAGGTAAATCAGACACAGGTAGACAAACCCTTGAACAAATGTGAAGTACCAACCATAGCTAAAACAAGTAAAAACAAACCACCAACTTCACTATTAGGCCCCATTCAAAGCTGCAAAACAGTAATAAATGAAATAGTACCCAGGTAGATGAAATTCACCTAAAATGGAGCCTGTTATACACATATTCCTGCAAAATAAAGTAAATGATGAAAAAAATTATTAAAACACAATTTATTCTCAGTACAATAACTTAAAAAGATAAACAAAATTGAAGCCAAAAGTCCCAACAAGACATCCAGAAAGAGCAACAAAAGGCAGACAAATCTTGGCACTTTAGAGAAAACATTTTCCTAGAAAATAATCTTTAGGCTATGGATTATGAAAGAAAATAAAAATTTAAAAAAGAAGAAATTTACAAAATCAATCCCATTTTAACAACCAAGAAAAAAACTCTATTTTTGTTTTTTCTTTCTCCTCATACTTAGCCCATGTTTCTGCAACCCAGTTGCAGAAACTGGGAACCAAAAATATGAAACTCAAGAATTCAAGAAAAGCAAGAGAGAACAGAGCACATATATGATAAATCGTCGCATCTACCTCACAGATGCCATTAACAAGATATCCAAAGAAGAACCCTGATGAACAAATGAGGAATTGCTGCCATTTCGGTCTGTCAGAGAGTGAAATTCCAAACAAACTACGAGCTTGCTCCTCGTTCTTCATCTGTTCTTAAACCTCCAAACCCAAAATCCAATTCACCAAAACGAAAACACTTTTGGAACTCAAACCATCAACCAGCCTAGAAATCTATCTCTTGCATGTTGACTTTGCCAACCCCAGAAAAAAAATGGTTACTCAAAATGGAAACTTGTCTGATAAGTGACTAGTCTATGCAAGCAAGTTCTAGGGGGTCACAACTTTTTGCATGTAGGACTCAAAGAGAGAAAAAAAAAAAAAAAAGAGAAACTTAAAGAGTAGTATGTGTAAATGCTTTCATTCATTCACACAATCTCAGCTGTCTCCTATGTACTATATGTTTGTGTAAGTTGATTCTAAGCAAAGGTGGAAGAAATTGAATAAACAACAAAAGAGAGAGAGAGAGAGAGAGAGAGATTTAATATTTTCTTTTTTCAAGGGACGCTCTTCATCCCATGGGAAAGGACTTAGGAGTAATAAATTGTGGCACAAGGAGAAGACCAACTACGGGTTAAGTTAAGGGCAGTTATGTCATGTGGGCTACATGCATATATCCCTTCCTTCATGCTCCTTGTTTTTATTATAATAACAATTTTGTTTTATTAGAGTCCTACAAATATAGAGCATTGAGGGTAGGTCCTACATAAGAATGATTTTGGTGGGGACCTTTATTTAGTTTTGCTTTAATTTCACAAGTGCAACTGCTCCATTACTAATGTAACTCTGGTTATTGGTCATTTTGGTGCTCCACTCACACACACTAAACTATTACATTACCACTTTTATATACATTCGTTTTATCATAATTTTTCAATCATTCATTCCTTTATTAGAAGGTTTAATTTAAGAAAAAAATATATCATCTCAATGAATTTGATTCATCATAATCTACCAAAAAAAAATGTTTTTATTCTCCATACTTTCTGTATGCTTTTATAATTATGTCAACCAATTTGGATCTTCACTCCCTTAGAAATAAGTTTTAGTTTCAAAAATTGAGAAAGATTGAATTTTTATGTTTCCTAAAATATTATTGACCTTGGTTAAGAATTAAAAAAGGAAATAATTATTGAGAAAGCATGTTAAAAAAAAACGTGGTGTGTTTTTCCACCTTAAAAATGTCGTTTTCAATTTTCATAATTAATGTTCTAAAACATTATTATTTTTTAAACTATAAAAATCAAATTTTAAAATAAAAAATATTTTTTTACCATATTTAATTAAAAATATAAAGCCTAAAAACACAACTTTTCTTTTCAACGTCTAACCAACGGAATCGAGTAGATTTTGTTTTCCCGTTTACCATTATTTTAACATAAATTTTCATATATAACATATTGTATGTAATATTTACATGAATAGCACATTTTTATAAAAAGTCAATAATTTTGAGATTTGATTTCTTCACTAACATCTTATTAAATTTATAATTCTGAAATAACATCATTTTATCAATATTTACTTGACTAGCAGAATTTTCTTACACAGTTGGAATTCAATTTTTAGGAGACTGAATTCCAACCTCACTAATTAATATAATTTTAAAAATAAAATAATATTTATTAAATATAATAATTAAATATAAATATATATAAATATTATATATATATATATATATACTTTTTTAAAAAAATTATTTATATAATTATATTATTAATATATTTTTATAAATATAGTAAAAACAAATATATTTAATATATATAATATTTAAATATTTATTTATATTTTTATAAATATAATAAAATTTAATTTATATGTATTTATATCTTTCTATATAACATTTTTACATAAATAAATTATATATATTATTTAAATATATTTTAATATAAAATAATTTTAATAAGTACAAATAATATTTTTTTATAGAAATATATAAATATTTTTATTATTTTTATTATATTTTTACTATATTTATAAAAATATATTAATAATATAATTATATAAATATATTTTTATGTTATTTAAAAAATATATTTATATTTATTTCATATAATTATATAAATAATTTTAAATATATATATATAATATTTATATATTTGTTTAATATAAAAAATATATATATTTATATTTAATTATTATATTTAATAAATATTATTTTATTTTAAAAATTATATTAATTAGTGAGGTTGAAATTCAGCCTCTTGAGAATCGAATTCCAATCGTGTATGTAAAAATGGTGTTAGTTAGGTAAATATTGATAAAATGATGTTATTTTTAAATTATAAATTTAATAACATGCTATTAAGATAAATATTGATAGAATGATGTTATTTATGAATTATAAAATTAATAACATGCTAATGAAGGAAAAAAATGGTATCTGGTAAAGGTAGATACTTTAATAAAATTGGACTAAATATATTTTTTAATATATGGAAAAAGGTGAACAAGATAGTTTTTCTATTAAATGTTTTCTTTAATAATAATATTTGTATTTAAAGTTATTTACCAGTCAAACCTATGGGGATTGTTTGAAGAGATTAATTTAATTAACGAGTTTTTTTAATTAATAACACGTCTACCTTTTTTATTCTTGAATTCAAATTATTAAATACATAATTTTCTCTCTAAAAAATTTAAAGTTTAGAGGATTCATTAGAATATTATTTTCCATTAATTAATCTTATCTAATAATAAAATAATATTAAGACCATATCAAATAATGAATCCCATCTAACATGATGAAGGATTCTTTACATTTTCTTTAAGTTTTGGTGTAAATATTTTAATCGTCAATTAATTAAATTTTTTTAATAAGTTTGAACAAATTTTAATAATATTACTACATGTAACGATTAGTAATTGAATGAGGGAGAACTTTTCCTTACAATATATTTATTAAAAGACTTTTTTTATAAACTTTATACAAAACTCAAGTAAATTTTAGATTTTCTAAAACGAAATATCACTACGAAAGTGAAATAATTTGTCTTATTTCATTGTCTTCAAAATATGATGTAAATGATGAGTGAATCATTCAAACAATATATAAAATTAAAAAAGAAAAATTGATGTATGACCCTCGTTTGGATCATTTTATACTATAAGTTTACGTTGAAAAAGTGGCAGAATTTGCAGAATAACATTTTTTTTAATGCGAGGAACCTTTCAAAAAAAAAGCTATGAAGTTTAGAAAAATTGTTTCAAGTCAGCATACGTTGATAAGGATTAGACTGAAAGAGAAATGGTTTTTGAAATTTGTTTATTCTTCTAGTTTTGAAGTCAAACAAAACTATGGATTATAAGTTGCATGTTCTGCAATTAACTATTGTTGATTGAAAAGCTGATTTTGTTAAATTGTAGGTTAAAAATATTAGTTATATTATTTTATTATCTTTTATTTAAATTATGTATCAAGATATTTTATTATTTTGTTTAAAATAAAATAAAAAAATATTAAATTATTATTTTAATTTAAGTAATTATGATTGAAATATTATTAATATTTAATATTTTTACTCTATATATATATTACATGAATAAAAATATACTACATGCACTAAGAAAAATTAAATTTTTCAACGAACAAAATTCGTCAATAAATATATATTACCAACGGATTATCAACAACAAAAATTCATGTAAGACACATTTTTATTTATTTATATTTTTATTATTTAAATTATTATTCCTCTTTGTTTATCTAGAGGTTACCTTAGTATTTATATTAATAATTTTAATAAATAAATAATTAATTATCGACCAATATATTTATTAATAATTAATTACTTATTTATCGATAAATATATTTATCCATAAAACTAAATTTTATTATCAATAATTTTCATTGATAATTATTTATTTTTTAATGGATATATACCTATCGATAAATATCCCTTTTTCTTGAATATACAAAACTCTACAGATAATCTAAAAATTCCCAACAAATCAGTCATAACTGAGAGGCTCGCTGACGTTGAGAAATAGACTATTTTGGATTTGATCAAAAAAATATGAAGAAATTGGTCCCTCCTTTTCATCGCCTCCTCGTGATCAATCTTCACCACCTCTCCATTTTTATCACCTGCCGACACACTACTCAACCTCTCTTTTTTATTCATACTTCAATTTTTAAGTAAAAATTGCTTGAATTGAATTTAGGAAGAAAGTAACCAAAGGCACTTGACAAACAACTTATAAAGGTAGGGTTTTTAAAATAAAACATTATTCACATGGTAAATAAATCCCAATGTTTTAATTAACAAGTTACATACTTTTGCAATTAATAATCAACTTACACACATTTAATAAGATAAATGTTTACAATATCATGCATGGAATCAATCCATGTTTTGATCGATGGTGTTCCGTTTCAGTCACGTCCTCGTTTGGTGTAAATATCCCTCAATCCAAAAAGAAAACAACACATCACGAGAAAGGGTTCATTGCTTAACCTAAAACTTCTCGAAGAAAAAATCCATGGAAAGTAAAATATGTTTATTTCGCATCAAAATCCCACATTTTATATAGCTAAATAAAAGTAATTAAGTATAGGTTTATCTTTTTTATTTTTCATTTAACGCACGTGATATAGGTGGAATAATCCAAATATAAATATAAGTTTAACACAAGAATGAAAGATTCATAAATTAGTATTTTAACATTTTAGATTAAATTTTAGATTAAAAATGATGATAATTTCTTGTACTTTTTCCAGATAAGTCATCCTAAAAAATTCAGATATTTCTCAACACTATCTTAATCATTTTTTCTTTTATATTATTTCTCATAAGTTAATAGAATTAAATCATCATCATACATGTCAAAAAGTTATAATTTTATAATTAGGTTTTATACTGATTAAAGACACTATATTTTCTAAGCATTATAAATTAAAAACGCTTAGGATTTAATCTAGTCATGCGAGAAAGTAAAGCAAAATTCAAGTAAAACCATTGGAGTGTTAATCAGTTAAATCAAATTAAAAAAATTGGAAGTTTTGGAGAATGAATAATAGTAGCATTTTAGAAATAAATCCATTTTACACGTTATGTAAAGATGTTGACTTCATGAGCTTGCCAACTTTGAGTCAACTCCACCAAAACACATGCAAGTGGCTTAGGTTTTGGGATTCTAATTCTTCCTTAAATTAATGTGTTTGAAAAGTTTTATTTTCTTGGAATAGTAGCAAAATCTGTATATTGGTGCTTTTGAAGATAATCAAGAGTTTTATATTTCTTCAAAATCACTTATTTGAGTTGTTCCACCATGTCTAATGATCTTAAGTGGGACTAATACTTTACTTATAGGTAACATTTTTGTATGAGTTTTTTTTTTTTTTTAGCATGAAACTCATATGAATTTAGTTGGGCATGTTTATAAGATAATTTGAAGTTCTCTTCTTGTTATTGGAGAATTATAAAGTTTCACATATTAGATAATTCAGATAATTAAGGTCTATATAAAAACATATAAGAATAAGATCAATTTATGTCAAATTTTGAAGGATATATATTAACTAGTGATATAAATAAAATAGAGTATATATATTTAAAAATAATAAAATTAGATTCAAATTAATTATGAATAATATATATATTTTTATTTCAATAAGTATAGTTCTATTGCTTCTCATTTGAATTGTATATGTACATTTTCCCTTAAAGTGGAACTTTCAAATTATTAGGAATATAAATTGAAGCTTAATTTTAACTTATCGAAGAGTTACATATTCAACTTTGTTTTTTTCTGTATGTCTCTAATTAGAAATTTGAGTTTGAGATTTACTTAGTTTAGTTTACTTATAATTTAATTATCGTACTTTTATGAAACTTTTTCTTTAATTTTTTTTTAACTTTATCAATATATAATTTAATGATTATTTTGCTATAAGACAATTATCTACCAAGAGAAAAATCTGTTTAACATGTGATGTAGAATTTTAAAACTTTACATTATTAAAATTTTCAGAATTTAGTAAATAAAATAATTCATAATTTAATGTCTCGATACAATTCAATCTATATTTTTTTCATAATCAATATGTAAATAATAAAGATTAAAAATATTTAATATTTTTTTTACCAATTGATTGATTTATATATATTATGAAAAAATATTGTTTAGGATTCCTAACACTCAATATTATCCTTTTAATAATAAATAATTTTTATTATTGAACTTGATTAGTTTGAATAATAAAGTTTAAACTTAAATTTGAGTTTATTTATTTAATTAATAAAAAACTTATAATTAACAAATTGAAGAACGATAATTGTGATAATTATAATAATAATATAGATATTTAAAATTAATAATTTAATTTTATTATATTTTTTAATTTTTTATTATATTTTTTTGTATTAATTTAGTCTATTTTTTATTTTGTGAATCAATATCATTATTTTTGTCAATTCTATTGAATCGTGTGTTACTACTTGCTGACATTATAATTGAAAAACATGAACTCAAAAGGTATGTGAACAGTAATTTGTGATGGGTTGTTAATGTAATTTTTTAAACTAATATAGAAATTAAACTCTTCTAAACAAACTAGTATTTTAAATTAAAGTTAAATCATACCTTAATTAAAACATATTATATTAAATAAATATTTAATTATTTTTTCAGTGTCAAAGTCTACTACAATGTTGAGCCCAATGAACCTAAATGGGCTTTTGATTTTTCACCTTCACTACGTAACGGTAGGAAACCCAACGGCTATATTTTCATTTTTCTCGTGCTCTCCAAAACAAACACAATCACAATCACACACTCTGTGTTCTTCTGAACAGAAACCTAGCACCCAAGTAATTTACTGTCTCCCAGAACATTTCAGAACAAGGTTGAATTTTGACTATGTTTTTGCATACCGTTTTTACTGTGTAAGCAGGAATTGATGGGGGTAGGTGGTAATTTCTGGGAGCTGTTGAAGCCGTATGGGCGTCGCGAGGGTTTTGATTTCTTGAGGAACAAGCGAGTTGCTGTGGACCTTTCATTCTGGATTGTTCAGCATGAGAATGCCATGAAGGCCACTCATGTCAGAAAACCCCACCTTAGACTCACCTTTTTCCGCACCATCAATCTCTTCTCCAAGGTGAGAATGTAATAGGAAGTAAGACAATTTTGGCTTTTGAAGAAGATTTTGGATTTTTTAGCCCCCTTTTGATGAGTAAAGGAAAATTTGAGAATAATTGGCTGGTTCAACGAAATGATTGTGTTACAATGTGTTATTATTACCTTTTTGTTTTATGTAGACTTGAATGTACTTACTGGTACTATAGGATTGGGGTGCCACAAGCATGGTGATGGGATTAATCTAAGCTAGTTTTTTTTTTTTTTTTTCTTGATATCTTGTATATTAAGTTAGCTTGGATATGGATATGGAACAGTCAAACAAACAAAGAATGGACTTAAAGTTTGATTATGATGAAGATTATATGGCGATTTTTGCAGTTTGGGGCACTTCCTGTGTTCATTGTTGATGGGACTCCATCTCCATTGAAATCACAGGCCAGGATTGCGAGATATTTCCGGTCTTCTGGCATTGAGTTGACTAGCTTGCCAGTGCCTGAAGAAGGTGTTTCATCTGAGAGGAGCAGTCTCTTTTCAAGTCGTGTTCAAGAATGTGTGGTGCGAGGTTTTTGTTTTTCCTTGATGATTACCACCAACTTGAAACTATGCAGTTGGTTCTGTTTTTGCTTTTCCATGCAACACTTGTGTGCAATAATCCAAGCTTGCTTTCCTTATGTTTACTTGTATATCTTATACGAAAAACACTTCTTTAATTAATTACTTGTCAGATACGGATGCAGCTTTGTTGTATTTATTTTCTGATAGTTGTCTGTTCTCCGGTGAAAGGAACTAGTTAAACTACTTGGAATGCCTGTACTAAAGGCTAAGGGAGAGGCCGAAGCACTCTGTGCTCAATTAAATAGTGAAGGTCATGTAGATGCTTGCATCACAGCTGACAGTGATGCATTCCTGTTTGGGGCCAAATGCATTATAAAATGTTTTTGTCCTAATTCCAAAGTAAGTGACCATGGGCACTGTATATTCTTTTTCATCTCTTGGCAATTTATTATATAAAATATGATCTAACCATGTTTGCTTAGTTGACATGTTTATATACCAGACGGATTTTACTAAATGGTTTCATTGATCTGGGTACTATATTGGCTGACAACTTTAATTTTGAGTTTTCATAGTCTGTCTACTTGTTACAGACTTATGATTATTTGGCCTGATATATTTCAAAGTTAAATTTATTATATCTACCAATATACCCCTTGCTTCTTTCTTAACTGATCATATTATAAACGAATTGCTCACTTGCTCTTCCATGACACTTTTTTGTCCTTTTGAAATTTGTTACTATTAATTTGTAGTATTTTTTCGATCCTCATTACTTAGCAATGACAGCAACTGATTGATTCAAACATTTACTTAAAAGTTTGAACTCTATATCCTTGTTACGCTCTTGACAGTTGCTAACATTTTATGCTCCTTTTATGCTGAAAAAGACATACTTGAGAACACTTGCGGAGTATTAATATTTTGGAGAGATGTGATATCTTCTATATTTATATGTATCTAGGCAAATATCCCTTCATTTTGAAATATTGTATTTCTTTAATCTAAATCTGAAAGTATTGCGTGTAGAAAACATTTTAATATAAAAACTAACAATGTTTTTATTTTATATATATATATATATATATATATATTATAGATTAAAAATTATACTATTGTGTTCTATCTAAACCCCAACCGATGAGGAGGCCAGTAATTTAGATCTAAGTCCATCTTAGTGGTTTCAGTAAGGGTTTTCTTCGGTCTTCCTCTACCTCTAGTCATTGGGCTATTCTCCAGATATTGAATTTTTCTTGTTGGGTCTTAGCTATAGTTTTCTGTTAGACCTTTGTTATTTTTCTGTTACAGATTTGTTTACCTTTTCTTTTTCCTGTTACATATCTGTTTCCTTTTTCTTTTCTGTTACTCGACATTATATATATATACCTCTTATTATTTCATAATGACAGAAGAAAAATATACAAGCTTTCATTTATCATTTTCATTTTCTCTTTCCTCTCTCCCGATTGTGATATTTGATATGGTATCAGAGCCCCACTCTTGAAGGGCTTTGCTGTTCTCCGCTCCTTCTTTTTCCCTTATTCTTCATCATCATGACTGAGAATCAAATACCTGGCGTGCACAGTTATCTTTACCTCTATCCGATTGAAAATCCAGCAGCAGCACTGGTATCTCCTCTCTTGATTCCTCCAATTATCATTCATGGATATGTTAACTGCTCTTAGTGCAAAGAATAAGGTAGAATTTGTTGATGGCACTGCAACGCAACCACCACATTCCGATCCAATGAACAGTGCTTGGCGCAGATGGAGCAATATGGTCGTGTTCTAGGTCGTGCATTCTATTTCCATTCTGATACGTCACAATATCCTTTGGATGGACAACGCTAATGACATATGGAAAGATCTGAAATTACGATACGCACAGGGAGATCTCTTACGGGTATCAGATATGCAATACGAGGCATATTCGATGAGGCAGGGAGATCTTTCAGTCACAAATTTCTTCACTAAACTCAGAATTGTTTGGGACGAACTAGAGAATTTCAGACCAGATCCAGTGTGTACTTGTGTAACTAAATGTTCATGCAAGGTATCATCTCTTATTGCTCAAAGAAAACTTGAAGATAGAGCAATGCAATTTTTACGAGGATTAAACAATCAATATAGCAACATTCGCTCTCATGTATTACTTATGGATCCTTTACCTTAATTTCTAAAATCTTTTCATATGTCGCTCAACAAGAATGGCAACTCACCAGTCCTATTACATGTTTTTCGTCTGAAACAATGATTAATGTTGTTGCTACTACTGTTTCATGTACTCATTGGGGCAGCTCTGGCCATACGGAGAATGTTTTCTATCGCAAACATGGGTTTTTTTATGCGAAGAACATCAGGAAACGTTCATTTTAATGCTTTGTTCTATCTCATTGATGTTTTGTATATACCCACTTTCACATTCAATCTTATTCCATATCTAAACTTGTGTCATCTCTTCATTATGATTTAATTTTTTTCTCTTATACAAGACACGAACAACAAACAGAGGATGGGTCCAGTTGATATAAACATTGGATTATACACTTTTATTTCTACTGAGGTTGATAAGTACCATAGTTCAACCCCAATGTAATAAAATACCCATAGATTTGTGGCATTTCTGTCTTGGTCACCCTTCCCATGCCTATCTAGAAAATATGAAACAAACATACTCTTGGTTGAGCAGTGATTCAAATTTTGCTAGCAATACATGTCATCATGCTAAACAAAGAAAATTATCTTTTCCTTTTAGTCATTCACATGCTAATGCATCATATGAACTACTTCATATGGACATTTGGGGTCCATGCTCTACCACTTCCATGCTTGGTCACAAATATTTTTTAACAATAGTTGATGATCACACGTTTTGTTTTGATTTTTCTCATGCATTCCAAAACTGAAACACGTTCTCATATTATTCATTTCATTACTCAAATGGAAAAATAATTTAACACTACTATTAAAATGATCCGTACCGATAATGGTACTGAATTTTCGATGCATGAGTATTTCTCTTCAAAAGGAATCATACATCAAACTACATGCATTGAAACCCCTCAACAAAATAGCTTTGTTGAACACAAACATCAACATCTCTTAAATGTTTCACGAGCATTACTTTTTCAATCCAATCTTCCTTTAACTTTTTGGTGTTTTGCTCTTCAACATGCAGCATACCTTATTAATTGCATCTCGACTCCTTTTTTACATAATATGTCACCATTTGAAAAACTTTACAAGCATGCTTGTGATATTTCTAACCTACGCATTTTTGGATGCTCATGTTATGTAAGTACACTCACTGCCCAACGCAAGAAGCTTGACCGTCGTGCTCATCCCTCCATTTTTTTAGGCTTCAAACCTCACATCAAAGGCTATTTGCTTTATAATTTGCGTTCTCATGATATCATTTATCTCGGAATGTTTTTTTTATGAGGATCATTTTTCTCACGTATATCCTTCTTCTGTTCAAAACTCTCATTTTTTTTCCTTCCCTCATTCCTCTTCTTTCATGACTCATGACTACATATCCCCTTCCTCTCCTTCTTTAGAACACATTTCTCGATCTATTTTTTCTCTGAGTTTGACTGTTTCACCTCCCCATGATTTACGTCATTCTACCCGTATTCGTCAACTTCCAAAATATATAAAGATTTTCACAGTGTTTTTACATCAACTGTTATCACTGCCGCTACTGTTTGTTATCCCTTGGAACGTTTCCTATCTTATCCATTGTCTATCACTTTCTTTTCGTCATTATGTCTTGTCCATTTCCATTATATCTGAACCAAAGACATATGCTAAAGCCACAAAATTTGATTGTTGGCTTAAGGCTATGCATGCTGAGTTTGCTACTTTACAAACGAATAATACTTGGGTTCTCGTTGATTTACTTCCACATAAAACTGCAATCGAGTGTCGATGGATTTTTAAGATCAAACACAATGTTGATGGATCTATTGAACGATATAAAGCACCTTTAGTTTCCAAGGGACATACACAAATGGAAGGCCTTGATTATTTGATACTTTCTCTCCTGTTGCCAAGTTAACAATTGTTCGGTTACTCCTTGCTCTTGCTGCTAACAATAATTAGCATCTCAAACAATTAGGTTAATAATGCCTTTTTACATGGTAATCTTCATGAAGAGGTATATATGCAACCTCTTCCTGGTTTACTTGGTTTACTTCTATTACATAATGGACAAGTTTATAAACTTCAACGTTCTCTCTATGGTCTTAAACAAGTCAATCGTTAGTGGTATGCACGTCTTTCTTCATTTTTGACTAGTCATGGATATCATCATTTTGCTTCCGATCACTCTTTATTTCTCAAGTTTTTTGGTTCTCACATTACTGCCCTCCTCATTTATGTTGATGACATTGTCCTTGCTGGAGATGATCTTGATGAAATTCAACACATTACTTCTTCTCTTGACTCCACCTTCAAAATCAAGGATCTTGGCAATCTACATTTTTTTCTTGGCATTGAAGTTGCTCGTATTGTAGCTAGTATTCATATTTGTCAGCGCAAATACACTCTTGACTTATTATCTGATTATGGCATGTTGGGCTCTCATCCAGTTTCCACTCCTATGGCTTACAACACTCGTTTTCATTCTACTTTAGGTGAACCTCTTCAAGATGCTTCCATATATACCAACGTCTAATTGGTAGACTTATCTATTTAACTCACACACGCCCCAACACCACTTATGCCGTGCAACATTTGAAAAAGACACCTGGTACAAGCATATATCTTTCTGCCAACACTCCTCTTCAACTCAAGGTCTTCAGTAATTCAGATTGGGCAGGTTGTGTTGACACGTGTTGCTCTATCACTGGTTTTTTTTATTTACCTTGGATCTTCATTAATATCATGGCGTTTCTAAGAAACAATCTATGGTATCTAGGAGTTCTTCTAAATCTGAGTACCGTGAGCTTCAATGGCTCACATTCTTACTTGCTGATTTTCGTGTTCCTTCTCTTAATCCAACACTGTTATATTGTGATAACCACTCTGCATTGCAAATTGCTTTTAACTAAGTTTTTCATGAATGGATTAAGCATATTTACCTTGGATCTTCATTAATATCATGGCGTTCTAAGAAACAATCTATGGTATCTAGGAGTTCTTCTAAATCTGAGTACCGTGAGCTTCAATGGCTCACATTCTTACTTGCTGATTTTCGTGTTCCTTCTCTTAATCCAACACTGTTATATTGTGATAACCACTCTGCATTGCAAATTGCTTTTAACCAAGTTTTTCATGAATGGATTAAGCATATTGACATTGATTACCACATTGTATGCGAAAAGGTTACTACTAGATTGATTAAACTTTTGCCCATCTCTTCTTCGCTCCATATTTTTCTGTTACAGATCTGTTTTTTTTTTTTCTTTTCTGTTACTCGACATTGTATATATACACCTTCTATTACTTCATAATGACAGAAGAAAAATATACCAGCCTTCATTGAGCATTCTCGTTTTCTCTTTCCTTTCTCCTCGATTGTGATATTTGATATTGGGGATTCTGTTGGTCTTTTCCTCACATCACCAAACCAAACCAAACCATCTTGGGTGCAACCCTATCAACTTTCTTTACATATATACCGCACCTGCTTTCTCTTGAATACATCTATTACTAATTTTTATCTTTTTCTTGTGTCTACTCACTCAATGTGTCTTCTCAACACCAAAACACTTAGCTTATGATTTTGTTCAACCTTACCATCCAACAATCCGTACCATTAAAATCACTGGTCATATAGTAGCAAATTTGAATAAATTCATTGCATGCAGGAACCGTTTGAATGCTACAACATGTCAGATATTGAAGCTGGACTTGGATTGAAGAGGAAACATTTGATAGCTATCTCTCTTTTGGTTGGAAATGATCATGATATGAATGGTGTCCGAGGAATTGGGGTTGATAATGCACTTCACTTTGTTAAAGCTTTTAATGAAGATGATATCTTGAATAGGTATGGATCCGTCAGAGTGATGAACATTTTGTTGTATCATCTGAAGTATTTAAATGTTCTGATTTTTTTATATTTAATTGGTTACTTATGAGCAGAATGAAATTAAGTTGATTCATTTTTTAAAGATTTTGAGTAATAATGTAAGTTTGTAAGTTGAAGAAAACTGATTAGGGACCATACTAAATTTTAAAATAGAAGGACCTAATTGTCTCAAAAAAAACTTGGCAGTGAGACAAAGTCCCTGATAATTTCCTTCCCCATTTCCATTGTAATGTTTAACAAGCTCAAGGGGTGTCTATCCATTTCATTAAACCTTTAATATTTTTTTTAGAAATGAAATAGTGGTCACAAAGTGAGACTTAGATAATCTGGATAAATATTTTGGTTTAGCAATCTGACAATGTTTTTGATGCAGATTGCAGGAGATAGGAAAAGGGGGAAATACTTTACAAATTCCCATTTGCATTAAATTTGAAGACAACATAGATGTTGATCGAAACTCCCCGGATAAAAAACAATCTCATTGCTCTTTCTGTGGGCATCCTGGCAGCAAGAAAGATCATATGAAATTTTCATGTGAATACTGTGTCATAAAGGATGATGAAGGCTGCCAGAGAAAATCAGAGGGTTTTAGATGTGATTGCTTCTCATGTGTTGCGGTATGCATCGCAGGTTTTAGTTGAATTAAATGTATTTAACATGTAATTTAAAATATAATATCCAATGATAATATTTGATTGGCAGAATAGGAAACATAAGGAGCAAAAAAGACGGGAAAATTGGCACTCAAAAATTTGTCACAAAATTGCAGAGGAGCCTAACTTTCCCAAAGATGAAATCATTGACATATATTTATGTAATGACAATGGTTACTTTTCAGGTCATTTGAACTCATAAATCTTATCAAAGGAACTTTTGAACATGATTAATCTGTTACAGTTGCTTGTGTGTTATTATATTGACATTCATTATATATACACTTCTGTTTGCAGCAAGTGATGGTCCTCAGATCGAATGGGGAAAACCCAATATTGAGATGCTGATTGATTTTTTAAAATTCCATCAGCATTGGGAACCATCCTACATTAGACGGACGATGTTTCCTATGATGTCCACCATCTTTCTGAGAGATATGTCTACACCTACCGTAGAAACTTTGTTATTTGGGCAATATGAGTTTGATTCGGTAGAACGTGTGAGGATGAGATATGGATATCAGTTTTATGTGGTCAAGTGGAAACGTGCAGGGGGGCACATCGTCACTGGCAAAGATCCACCGAAGGAATCCAGTGTGCAACAAGATGTCACAGAGCTTGATGAAATGGTGGATCTACTAGACTACTGCGATGTTCCTGAGATTCGTGAAGATGATGGAAATTTTCTGTTTACAGATGAAAATATGGACCTCGTAGCAACTGCTTTTCCAGCACAAGTCCAAAGTTTTTTGCAGGAGCAGGTGTTTATTATTTTCCATCATTCTACCTATAACCTGTGTTTATTTTTGCTTTGTCGTGCATCATCCATTTATTTGGATCCCTATTGATTACAATTCACTGAGTCCAAGAAGTGTGCAAGAATTTTACTATAACAACTTTAGCAGTTGGTAGAAGATAATCAAACAAACATCATCCATTTATTTGGATCCCTATTGATTACAATTCACTGAGTCCAAGAAGTGTGCAAGAATTTTACTATAACAACTTTAGCAGTTGGTAGAAGATAATCAAACAAACATGATGATGATAACTATAAATAACCAAACTGTATCAGGAATTGTCCCTGGGAGATTATCCGTAAAATGTCTTCTGGATCAGTGCTAAAAGAGATGACTAATGAATATATTTTATATAACTAATATCTCAACCAAAACGTTGATACTTGATTGAAATTTGCAGGAAAGGAAAAGAAAAAGGAATTCATCATCAAGTTGCCAAGAAAATGAAAAATCAGCTTCACCAAACTCAAGAAGTACTCAGCTCAACATTACAGAGTTCTTCCCATCAACCAAAATTAAACATCGTCAATCAAAACAAGGAGAAGAATCATCCAAGAATGATGATAGTGAAGGCAGCAGGGATTCAAAAATGAAAAGAAAAAAGTCCAGTCCTGACAAGATTCCAAAATCTGTGAGGCGTCGCCTGTTGTTTGACTAGTGTGTATATATGCTCGAGCTTTGAGTTTATTGACACTAATAGAAAGGATTGAAGCAGTGAAAATAGAGTTGTATTGACCTTGTAGCACGGTTATAGTTACACAGGTCACTGAGCATACATGTAATTAAATAAATATCTGTATGTTTCTCTATATTTCTGTCGATTTTGAATATTTAGATTTTTGTGCAAATGATAAATATCTTCAAAGCATTAAAAAAACTAACAGTGTTTAAATTAAATAAAAATAAACAAAAGCTTTCAATAATGTAACCAAGTATTAGTTTGCAGTTGTTGTCTGTTTCTTCGCCACTGAATCATATTTAGTGTACTTTTTCTCTTTTTGAATCTCTAACTTTTTTGCTTGTTCACTGAGAGTGTACAACACATTGAAAAAGATGTAATTAAGTTTTTGACTGGTAGTTTACAGATCCAAATTAACCACGTATGACAGCATACTAAACCAGTAAATATTACAAAGACAAGATCTTATGCATGAATTAAAATAAGGATTAACAATTATATTTTTCAGTAACAATGAGTATAGATGTTCAACCAATAGTTTGCTACAATGTTGTTTATATTATGTTAGTCTATTTTTTACGATAATACAGTATTAAAATTAAAAATAATTTAAAATAGCCCCAAGAAGTAAGAAAAGAAATAAGTCTTATAAACAACTAAGTTATTCTTCCAAATAATACTGTATTATGATTAATAGGAGGATAAATAGACTGTAACTTCAAATAAACCTAATTTATAATGTGGACTTATTATGCAATCCTCATTTTAAGAATAAAAAATGACCAAGCTATCAACTTTGACTGGAGAATCTCGTACTTTTTGCATGTTGATGTACCCAAATAAATAAAGTAATAATACAACATGATACAGAATTACAATTATATTTGGAAAGTTTTAAAACAGATAAACAAAGAGAAAGAAGGAGTAGAATGATAGGTTAACTTGTGAGTTGCAAATACAAAATTGAAATTCGTAATCTTTAATTGCTTGACACTAATAATATTAAAACTCTATAATGCATATAATGTATATATTTGGATCAAAGTTCAAGCTAAATAAACTTCAAAGAAAAAACAACCTTCTTCAGATTCTTCTTTTCAGAAAATAAAAGAAAGTACTGTTTTTACAGAAAATAAATGTTGTAAATTTCTAATTTTAAAATGAGATCAAACATGTAAAAGATAATGTTCGTCTTCCTTTCATGGATAGACCCAAATTAACTTAGAATAATGTGGATAAAAAAATATTATAAACCAATAATTAAAGCTTTTAAATAGTATCACAAAACACCTGACAAAGTATTAGAACTTCAAATAAATTTAACTTATAATTTGTGAGAATAGTTTTAAAACAGATAACTACGGAAGTAACGAACAACCAAACATGTATCCTTCATCGCTATGCTCTCATCAAACGTTCCCGCCAATATCTCACACAGCATTGCTTAACCGCCACCGCAAACCAGCGCATGGTAGCCCCGCTGGCGAACGGCGGAGAGCTACTTACGTAGCTTGTGCTGAAAGAAGTAGCAGAGGTTCCACGCGCAGCGCAGATGATTATCATGGCACTCTGAAAGCTCTCAAATCCAGAGGCAGATTCCCCAGAAAATCTCTTGGCCAGGTTTCCATCCTTTTCTGTTTAGCTTGTTTTCTGAGAAAATTTGGCCCATTACGTTGTAGTGCTCCAAAATGATTTCTTTTTTCTTTTTTGAAAATTGTACGGGGGTGCTTCGTTGAGGTGTTTCATCGAACAGAGGGTGGGTATGTCCATGGGATGATTGTTTGACTGAATTTTGTGTTATAGCACTACAAAATATAGTTGTGTGTCTTTAATTATTTTGTTTTGTTGTTTGGAATGATTTATTTGAGTGCTTCACTGGGGTCTATTATCAAAATGATGATGGGTGTGTTACTCGGTGCTTTGGTATGATTTGATGTATGTTTTCTTGTTTGAATGTAGAAATTTTTTTGGCGCTTGGTTTGAACTGAATCTTCTTCTGAAGGTTTTGCTCTTTTGGGTGTTGATGTAATTGTAGCATTATATGTTGAATTCCGACATAAATGACCAACTTGCTGGTGCGGCTGGTATCGAACAAGGTGATGTCGTGTTGGAAATTGGGCCTGGAACTGGCTCCCTGACTAATGTTCTTATAAATTCAGCGGCATTCGTACTTGCAGTCGAAAAGGTATACCCATTTTCATCCCATCTGTAGAACTAATCTTAGTACTAAGATACATACACTCTCATGGTTTCCTTGACTTGTTAGTTTGTTTCCAGTTTGTCCAAATTAAGAAAGTTAATGGTTCGCGTCGTACAAATGAATGTCCTTTTTGGTCTATGTTGTTTTTTTAATTTGTATATCTCTATAATTTAAATATTTATCTCCCAAACTGTAGGTTGTGAAAATTTTCCGACTTTGTGATAAGTTGGAGTGATGAATGATTCTTCATTCATGTCTTGTACTTCAACTCAAGTTTACGTTTCTTTTATTTTCATTTGATTCAGGATAAACACATGGCTGCCCTCGTGAGTGAAAGATTTTCAAGTACAGGAAAGTTAAAGGTACAACTGATGGTGAATTTGAACTTGATATTGCATGCCTGTAATCTTGTGTCACTGAGGTACAAATTAGGCTTATAATTCAGTTACCATATTATTTATAGAAGCTCAATGTGCACTATAGTTATACTAGCTGATGTTGTTTAACATTGGAATCTAGATACTTGTAGTGTTTATCTAGATTATATCTTTCATGACATATATTACATGATTGGGATTCCTAATACTCCTTGTCTAAATTTGATTGTTGAAGTCAGAGTCTGGAACCACATTTTTGCTTTAGTTGTTTTCCTCAGTTTCTTCTTATCGCATTTAAAAGTAATGCCACACTCTGTAATTTCCTCGTAATTCTTGATGTTTCTATTAATTTGTTACTTCAGATTGTTCATTATATTACCAGTGTATATTTCACCTTCCAATCTCTGTCATATGTCTGATTCTTATGCTCATATCATGATGATTCAGGACCAGTTTTTCTGTATAAATTATGTTTTATGTTGATGTTTTTTATTAAAACACCTGTAGGTTTTGACCGAGGATATTGTCAAATGTCACGTGCGTTCTCATATGTCGTCATTGGTTGGAAGCATAAATTCAAAATCCAGAAATGCAAAAGTGAGGCTCTACGTCCTAAACTAGCAAACAATATTATTTAATATTTAATTATTTTTCACCTTTTAGAAGTCATGTTTGTTTCATCTTAATCATTTTGCTTTTGGAATAAAAAAGAGTTATTGATTTCATAATCTCCAAAATTGAAGTTGTTTGAAGCTTAAGCCTAACAATTTACAACTGAATAGATATGATAATTGTTACAAATATAAAATATATTTCTGGCAATAATATTTTTCAAAAAATTCATGACTCTATTGAGTTGTTTGTGGGTTCTCAATTTGGGAACTTCCAGTGGCTCACTATGAGCTATGCAAAATTTGGGCCAGTTCAGATTTGATCTGGGCTTACAATTTAGGGGCCCGGAACCCTAAGTAGACCAGCTCACTGGTCCAATATGCATTAACGTTGAACAACAGAATTCCTTACCAAAGTGTTTTTCGACACAATACTAGAGATCTTTTCGTAGTAAAAACCTTTAGGTACCTCTGGAATCAGAAGAAATCATTTGAAAACAAATATTGTTGTTACCAATTGATAAATGAGGATGAATTGAACTTATCATTCTGCTCCACTCATCACTGTAAGAATCAGAAATCATAGCTAGGACGAAACTTCGGTGTTTGTAATGGGCCAATTCACTTTTGTTAATGCTTTATATATTTGTGCTTGTCGTGAATCTTTCACTATTAATATTATAAACCTAAATAAATTCATTTGGAAGCTTATCTTGTGGGTCCTAGGAAGCTATATATTAACCATGAAGTTTTGATGTTCTGTTCTGCTGCTAAAGTTTGCAAGATTATGCCAGAAAACATAATGTAAGTCCTGAATTGACAGGTATGATATGTTGTTTGCAGGTGGTTGCTAACATTCCCTTTAATATCAGTACAGATGTGATCAAATTACTTCTTCCAATGGGTGACATTTTCTCAGAAGTGGTTCTACTGCTCCAGGTTGGAATTGATCGCTCTCTAGTGTCATTATACTTATTGTCTAGTTTTAAATTTTTAAACTATCTCCTAACCTCTAATGTTTCCATCCCTATCACTCAACTCCTACCCACCATTTACTTGATCTGAAGTTCAGGTGCTTCCCATGTTCATTGATTTTGTATCTTGATCAGTATTATCAGCTTGAGGCACAGATAACTATCTAGAATGGAGGAAGAAATGATAGGAATTAGAAATTTGATGTTAGGGCCAAATTGTTTATGAAAACTGGTCAAATCTGATGGCAAGAACTAGCTGAGATTGTGTTAGGGTGCAAATATTAATGAGCTAGTTAGTTGCTTGAGGTGTTATTTAGATATAAATAGGGTAAGAAGGATAGGAGAAAGGAGTTCATTTTTGTAAATTGAGCATTAGCTCTTTGTGAAAGGAGAAATCCTTTGAGAAGGGGAAAATCCTTTGAGGAGAGAGTGCTCTCCTATTTCTTGTTCTTTTCATTTTATTAAATAATAAAAAAAAAATCTTTTTTTCTTCTTTTCAATTCTTGGTTCCTCACAGATTGCGAAAGAGCTGTGTTTTCCTAAGGACTTTGTTATGAAGATATCCAAAGGCCACGTCATGTTTTTCCCTGTAGTTCCTTTCTCCTTCCTTTTTTGAAGTAACATTTCTTGTGTTCAAAGTGTAGCCTTGTCCTCTGATCTAGTGTTTGAGTTTCGACTCGCAGAAATAGCCTCCTTTTTATTACAAACAAGGCTATAACTAAACATATCTCACGTTCCCCAGACCTCAGAGGTATGGGTGCCAGGTGTAATGAACCTCTCTGTGAAGAAACCACCCATCACTAAGGGTATATTAATAGAATGTGCGAAACATTCCAAGCTTGGAAACAATTTGCTCAAAGGGTCCTGGACTAAGAGCTTTGGTAAGAACATCAACAAGCTGATCTGCAGTGGAAATTGGCAACAAATGAATTAAACCTGCTTGCAATTTCTCGCTTACAATGTGGCAATCAAGCTCAATGTGTTTGGTTCTATCATGGAAAACTGGATTGGAAGCAATATGGAGAACTGACTGGTTATCACAAAACAAAGCAATGGGATGATCATTATGAAGACCAAAGTCATGAAGAAGAAAGCCATTGAGCCTCACAAGTGCTTTGGGCCAAAGCATGACATTCTGCTTCAGCAGAAGATTTGGAAACAGTGGCTTGCTTTTTACTTTTCCAGGAGATGAGTGCAGGTCCCAAAAAGAAGAAAAACCCTGTTACAGAACGACGAGTATCAGAACAAGAAGCCCAATCAGAATCACTATATCACTTTGAGTGTGAGATCAGAAGAAGAAGGGAAGAAAAGTCCCTGTCCAGGAGCATTTTTGACATATTTCAAAATTCTTAAAGTAGCCTGATAGTGAACATCAGTGGGTTGATCCATGAACTGACTAAGATGATTGACTGAGAAGCTAATGTCAGCTCTGGTGTTAGTCACATATATTAGGCGTCCAAGTAATCTTCTGTATAGGGTTGGATCATTGAGTGGAGTCCCAACAGTTTTGTGCAATTTAACAGAATGATCCATAGGTGACCTGCAGGGTTTAGAGGGAAGGAGACCAGTGTCCTCAATAAGATCCAAGGCATACTTGCGTTGATAAAGGAAAATACCAGTGGAAGATCTAGCAATTTCCATTCCCAAAAAATACTTTAATTGACCCATATCTTTGATAATAAATTTCTGGTCCAACAAAGACTCCATGTAATTGATTTCTGTGGGATCATTTCCTGCTAAAACAAGATCATCAACATATACTAAGATAGCAGTAAATTTATCACCATGTTGTTTAGTAAAGAGAGAATAATCTGTCATGGATTGTTTAAAACTAGAGTTAATCAAAACAGATGTTAGTTTGGCATTCCATTGTCTACTGGCTTGCTTGAGACCATATAAGGATTTGACCAATTTACAAACATGATTGGATTGATGAGAAGGAATAATTAGGCCTGGGGGAGGAGTCATATAGACTTCTTCATGTAAATCTCCATGAAGAAATGTTGTATTTACATCTAACTGTTGAATATGCCAATTTTTAGCTGCAGCCACAGCTAATAAAGTTCTCACAGTAGTCATCTTCACAACTGGACTAAAGGTATCCAAATAGTCCAATCCTTCTGTCTGAGTGTAGCCTTTGGCAACAAGCCTGGCCTTGTGCCTCTCAATAGTCCCATCAGAATTAAATTTGAGTTTAAAAACTCATTTGCAACCCACAACTTGTTTATTTGGTGGCAAGGGAGTAAGAACCCAAGTATTGTTCTTCTCTAAGGCAATCAGTTCAGCCTGGATGGCTTTCTTCCAAGACTCATCTTGGATGGCTTCAGCATATGAATTAGGCTCTTGGATGGATGATATGGATAGGGAGAAGGCTTGGTGAGAAGGTGAAAGATTGGAATAAGAAATGTGATTATGAATGGAATATAGTGGTTGGGAAGTAGCAGGTGAATTATGAGTGGTAAGTAAGGTATGTTGGTAATCATGAAGATAAGAGGGAAGTTTTCTAGGTCTGTTGGATTTTCGGACAGAAGGTGGTGAAGGAACAACTGAGATAGGAGATGGTATAGGTGCAGTATTTGTGAATAAGGGTGTTGGATCTGTATCCAAAGGTAAGGGCGGTTGGTGTCTAGGTAAGGGTATGGTTTGTGTAAGGTCTGAAGGTGAAGTGGGAAGAAAAGGAAAAATGTGTTCAAAGTACTCAACATGTCTACTCAAGAAAGTCTCTCTACTGCTCAAATCATAAAGAATAGATCCTTTAACCTGAGGCTTGAATCCCAAAAACACACATCTTCTCCCCCTTGGATCAAGCTTCTTTCTGTTGTGATGAAGAGTGGTAGCATATGCAAGACATCCAAAAACTTTGATTCCAGCAAGATCAGGTACATTATATATTACCTCATAGGGAGTTTTATTTTCCAGGGATGAGGATGGTTGCCTATTGATGAGAAAAACAGCATGAAACCAAAAAGATTTAGGAAGATTGGACTGCATGACTAAGGCACGAGCAACTGTCATGATATGCTGGTGTTTCCTCTCAACAATGTCATTTTGTTGAAGAGTTTCTACACAAGAGGTCTGGTGCAAAATCCCTTTCTCATGATAAAACTTCTTCAATAAAAATTGAGGCCCATTATCTGATCTCACACATTTAACTTTCTTACCAAATTGATTTTCTACTAATGCAAAGAAGGAAGATAAGTGATCAGCAACTTCATATTTGTGTTTCATGAAAAATACTCAAGTGTGTCTAGATTTATCATCAACAACAGTTAAGAAAAATCTGTGTCCAAGAATAGAAGCTGGGGTAGTAGGTCCCCATATGTCAACATGAAGCAAATCAAAAATTTCAGCAGCTTTTGTAACACTATGAGGAAAAGGTAATTGTCTTTGCTTTGCAAGATAGCAAACATTACATGGATCTTTATTCCTTTTACAATCAATAAAAGGGAAATTGTTTCTCATAGCCTGCAACTTCTCATGAGCCAAATGACCAAGCCTAATGTGCCACAAATCATTGTCATAAGAATGAAAATTATTAACAGAATGTAAGTACAAACACACTTTGGGTTTCCAATTCAGAACAGAGACCCATCCTATGCTTAGCTGCAACAATCATCTTCATAGATTGGGAGTCCTGGATATCACACAAATTACCAGAGAAAATTAGTCTGCATCCCAATTGCCTTATCAACCTTTGTTAAGGTTCCAACATAAAACCAATTGGCAATATGTGAAGTAGCCTAACATGTATTTAAACCATACCAAATGATATGAGGTAGGCGATGTGGGACTTTCAACAACCTTGATACAGAAACAAGGTTAAAATTGAATTCTGGAATGTATAGAACATCAGTAAGGAAGAAATCTTTTGAGGAAAAAATAGATCCACATAGATTTGTTGTGACACACTTTCCATCTGGTAAATGTATCTTTACTGGTTTGACCCTTCTCAAACATTGAAACAATTTAATTGATCTGCAAATATGGTCAGTGGCTCCCGAATCCAATATCCAAATATTGCTATTCACATAAGTTGAAAAGGTACAAATAATACCTGACTGAGAATCAGATGTTGAAGGAGATTCAATCAGATGTTGAAGGAGATTCATATGTGGTGATATGATTGGCTGTGTGGTGAGGTTGCTGCTGAGTTAACATACTCAAGAAAGCCTTATGCTGTTCAGCTGTAAATCCAAGAGAACTTTCTCCATTCTCCCTTTTTGAAATTTCACTGGCACTTTCATTAAAGACTGGACTGTCTTCATCATATTCCTCATTGTAACAATTTTGAGTTGAACCTCCTTTCTTGAAATGAGGTGGATAGTCATGTTTCTTGTAACAGGTTTCAATTGTATGGCCAAGCTTATTGCAATAGGTACAGACCTTACCATTCTGACCTCTTCCACCTCTAATAAATCTGCCAGCTCTTCCTCCTCTGCTGGGAGGTCTTCCCCGGAAACTATGCTGATCCATAACTGCTAGAGCTTTTCTATTATCAATGACAGAGTTAAACTGTCTTTCTTGTTGAATTAACAGAGAAAAGACCTTAGTAATGTTAGGTAGAGGCTCCATAAGCATGATATTGGATCTAACAGATGAGTATTGCTCATTTAATCCCTTTAGGAATCTAATCACATAGTCATTTTCTCTATTAGATTTTATAATAGGTAACAAATCACATTCACAAGCTACTGTACATTTACATGTTGGTATAGAACGAAAATTATCTAATTCCTGCCAAAGTGTCTTCAACTGAGTGTAATATGCAGTTATTGTTAGATCTCCTTGCTTAAGCATATAAATCGTTTCTTGCAAATCACTTATTCTAAACACATCACCTTGATAATACCTATCATGAAGGTCTTTCCACATGTTAAGGTTCCAACATAAAATCAATTGGCGATATGTGGAGTAGCCTAACATGTATTTAAACCATACCAAATGATATGAGGTAGGCGATGTGGGACTTTCAACACACCCCCTCCAACGAAGCCTGCCGGACCAGGCAAAGGGTACTTTTGACCCAACTAAAGGGCAACTTTTGGCCTATGACAATAACCGGAAAGATGTTAGGCTTTGGCTCTGATACCATGTTAAGGTTCCAACATAAAACCAATTGGCGATATGTGGAGTAGCCTAACATGTATTTAAACCATACCAAATGATATGAGGTAGGCGATGTGGGACTTTCAACACCACACATCCAATGCATTGTCAATCCATAAAACACTCTCTGTGATTTCTGGTTCTAATGAATGAATCAGCCAAGACAATATCATTGTGTTGCACCGATCCCAGACTTTAAACATTGGATCTGTCTTTAAAGGCTTGATAATGGTTCCATCAACAAATTGCTCCTTATTCTTGGATTTCAGAGACATGAACATGGATCTTGACCACGGATGATCATTTTCTCCATTCAACTTGACTGAGACAAGAACTGTTCTAGGACTTTCATTCGCATGCATGTAATAAGGACTTCCAGAATCAATTCCAGAATTCGCCATTATGAACAAGCTCGAAGAAGAGAATCGATCAATCAAAAAGAATATCCACGAATGGGGAGGAAGGTGAATCACAATCATCGAATCAACAATAATATGAACGAACAATCAGAGTGGCACAGCAGAGCTCCCCATCAGAGGAGCTCTGATATCATGTGAAAAGTCAGAGAGAGCATGAGAGAAGAAAGGGAACGAATGAACTCAGAAGAATGATTCTCATTGTATAAAAGAATACAAAAAACAGTATTTATACAAAAGGAAAACACAGGAAACAAAAGAAACAGAAAAGAAAACTAACAAACTCTAACTGATTCTGACTGCTAACTGTTAGGCTAAAACTAACTAAAATAACTTTTAAAAATTACATCAGCTAACAAAACTCAGTTCCTACTAACCAGATCAAAACATTACAGGAGGAGACTGCAGTTCGCTTGGTAGTGCCATCACTCCGGACCCCCGAGTATCGTCCCATCAATGTATTCGTGAATTTCTATTCAGGTACATATTCAACAAATTGTGTAGTATTATGTTAAGCTATTATTTTCCAATTAAGGATCATAAGTTTTCATATTGGAATCAAATAAAACCTGCAATACTGATCCAGTTACAGAAAAGATTGAACTCTCAGACATGTTCTTAACCTGTGTGGCATTTATGACACAAGAAGCTGTAAATCAAGCAAGTGCTTGTAAAAATATTGGTTTTACTGCTTTGTATGTGGTTTCTTAAGGAATATCTTATGCATCAAAATGAAACTAGGGATTTTGTTATCCATTGCCCAGGATTTGGTTAATTTTAATCTTAAATTTTGACTTATCTTTTCAGAGCCGGAGTACAAATTTAAAGTCCCAAGAACCAATTTTTTCCCTCAGCCTAATGTAAGTCATATAATATTTGAATATGCCTGCGACGTCTTTTTTGTGACATTTTTGCATAAAGAGCTTGAGAACAGATAATCTATAAATCATCAATATATGACCCATTTTCATACATGTGTAGGTTGATGCAGCCGTTGTCTCATTCAAGCTGAAGCTACCGTCAGAATATCCCCAAGTTTCTTCCACTAAAAGCTTCTTTTCATTGGTATTCCTTTCGCCAACATACTATTGTCACGAATTGAGTTTTCGAGCATATTCATCGTTAATTTCAGTTGAAGTCTCGTCGCACTGTAATATGAGCCACTGAAGATGCCCATTGGCTAATGCTTTCAATGACACTTCAATCCTATATATTTGTAGGTTAATTCAGCATTCAATGAGAAGCGTAAGATGCTGCGCAAGTCACTTCAGCACATATGCACATCCCTTGAGATCGAAGAAGCTTTAACAAGCATAGGACGTCTAGCTACTGTAAGTGATCAGAGTGTACGGCTGCTCCTTATAATTTTTTTGTTTTTGTCCGTAAATTTCATTCTGGTATTTTATTTCTTAAGGATTCTGTTGACCCATCTAACCTTCTGATGTTTACAGTCAAGACCTGAGGAACTAACATTGGATGATTTTGTAAAGTTGCATAACTTGATCGCCAAGGAGTAGCAATCTGGATTACTGTGGTTTTGAAGAGCAACCTCAAGCATAAGTCCCTAGAGATTCACACATTCATAAGGCTCTTTGCTGCAGTATACATATAATTCAAATAGAGAATCAACGTTTTAAGAAGAGGTATGTAGTGGCATGTCAGATTGGGGATATATTTTAGATTCCCGGTAGATTTCTCCTTCCGACTACCTAAGTTTCAAGCACAGGGGCATGTTCATCTCTGAAAAAATGTTTGCACGTAACTTCTGTACATTCTATGAATATAATTAGAGTGGACTCCCTTGTGCAATACACAGCTTGTAAGTTTAACTGCCTCAGAGATGGTGTAACTGGGTTGAATCAATCACACTACACTGTAAATGAAGAGCAATCTGTTCTTGAAGCTGAAACAAATGCTTCCCTCGTCATGAAGGGAAAATGAGCATATGTTTTTATTTTGGTTTGAATATTATAAACATCCAGTTACTGTAACCAAGGTTATAAAAAATAGTCTGTAATGGCCAGTTTGACCACAACGTCAAGGTTTTTACACGTCCAAACCGCAACACAATTGCAATTGTGGCTGCATCAGCAGCAATTTTCCACAAAGTTAAGGGAACGTGACAAAACCATATCGCAATTTAAATCTGCAACTGTGACTAATAATTTACATAGAATTGATGAACACAATTATGTATCATGGTTAATTTTGTATTTGTATTTTAAATACGATGTTATTCTTTTTTCACTACTACTATACCAAAATCAAATTCAGGTCCTTCTCTCCAAATTCAATGTCTATTGTCAACTTAGACACAAATTCCATGTGTTGTCAATTGAGCCACAACTGTTGGGTAACTCAATGCTATTCTTCTTATATGCAATCAGGTAAAGTCAGCAAAGTATGAAATCAGAGAAAACCATTTGATAACTAACATTAAACATGATTAATTTATGTAGCCTGAACTAACTATACAACCCAAATATTCCATTCCATGTTCATCAACAAAACCAATCATCCCAAAAGAAAACTAAAAATTCTATAGCCAGAACAAAAACAATTGAGAAAATTTAACAGCACCATCATGACATCTGACACACCACATCACATCACACATGAAACTGATACAAAAGGTCCAACGACTTCAACCTCACAACATATGGATCATAGTCCCTGACCGGCCCCGCATACCCATCATCGGAAACTCCCTTCTCCTCCGCGATCGCCGCCGCGGACGGCGACAAGGGCCGTTTGGGGCGCTTGTTCTTGATGAAGCAGTGCCTCATTTTCTCCTCAACCAAGTCAATGGTGCACTTTGAAGTGGTCTCTTCATCATCACCCCCATCATCGCCACCGTCCTCCACCTGCATCGGTTCGCCGGTGGCGGAGGACTCGGCGGCGGACAGCGGAGGCAGCGGGAGGGCGGAAAGGAAGGCAGAGAGGTGGCGGTGGGCGTGGTAGAGGGAAGAGTGGATTTGGTGGAGATGGGTGGGGCTGGCGGTGGATGATGATGGTAACTGCTTGGCCATGAAAGTGGCTTGTTGAAGTGAGAAAATGAGGTCTTGGATTGATGGGGGTCCCTCTTCCATTGAAAAGATTAAATTTTGCTTTTGGGTGTTTGATGGAACACAAGTACAAAAATTGAGTGTGCGATGAGTGCTGTGTTGTGATGATTTTAAACGAAGAGCGTGTGTAGTGGAAGTTGAGGATGTTTTTGTTTTGTTTATTGGGGGCGTTACTGACATTATTGGTTGTTGTTGCAGTCAGGTGTAGAATTGCTGAATGTTTGCGATCTTTTCATGTTTTTGCTATTCCCACCAAACTATTACTCTTTTCACCTCGTAAAGAAGTGAAAAATCTCTCTTATTCTCCACCTCCACCCTCTCTTCTACTCTTCCATGTGACTCTGACATGGACTCCATCTACTTTCTCACTGCCACCCTCTCTCGTTGTTGACAATGTCTCACTCCATTCCATTGGAGTCGTAATTGTATAGGGAAAGTTCTTTTTTTTTTTTTTTTTACTTTTAGATTCAATGGAATCAAGATTTTATTGTCTCCATGTATTCCACGGAATCACGATTCCATCATGTGCCTTTTCAATTTTTCTGTTTATTATTGAATTATTTATTTAAACTACGTTTTACGTAATCATTTAAATTATTTTATTTAGTAATGTGTAAATTGTTTTAGTAAGTTTTTATTTTAGTGTTTTAGTAATACCTTTTTAACTGTTTTTATCTAATTTTCTTTATAATTATTTAAATTACTTATATTTATTTAATTTATTCAATTTGGTTCTGATGTTATATATTAAAAGCTCTAATTAAGTCCCTCAACTTTTAAATTAGTATTTATATAAAATCATTTGATAAATATGGTTAGTGTCAAATAATAGAAGGGATTAATTGATGTTATTCTAAAAGTTTTAATAAGAATATCATAATATTCTGTTTAGGCTGATTTGTTAAATATTCAAAGTCCTAGATAATTAAAATAATTATTAGTCAAACTAGTTATGAGTTTTGCATGTCAAAAAGACTCACGTGAAATGATAAAGAAAATCCTATTAATATTGTGGAGAATTAAGTGAAAGTTTAAAATCCTATATTATGTAGAAATGTAAGTAATTTATACGTGAAAAAGATTATAATCTAATGTTTTGTCTTGAGTTGAAGGTGAAAACATGTTCTTTTGGTAAATTATGTTTCATAATTGAATAGGTAAAAAAATTGAATAACTTATAATTAAGAAAGATTTATTATCTAATATTTTGAAGTTTTTTTATTAAAAATAATAGCATATTTTCTAATATAATTAATTTATGTTTCCTCGTTCTTATATAATTAATTTATGTCCCCTGGTTGAAAATCTCTATGGATGAATTAAGCTTTTGCATTTATAAATATCATAACTTTAAGGAATGCATTATTTTGAAATGAATCATCTTTACATTGAAATTTATGATCATCCAGGGACCCAATTGAGTTCTAAGATCAGTCTTTACCAAGATTTGAAACTTCAATATATCTAAGATTGGTAAAAGGCTTGGTGGACGGACTACACACCCAACAACACAATAGTAATAGCAAGAGGTACATGTTGATGTTGCTGTATGTAGGGAGAATGTAATGCAAGATAATTCTGAATTCTCTATACCAGTAAATGTATCATATCACCTCAAACAGTTTCCAGTCTCATGAAGTTATGAAATATGAATATTGCAGTCTCACGGCAGAAAACCCAGAAATTAAAAATGACGGGGTAAAATGTTGAAGAAACCATTCATAAAAGTAAAGTACCTTTCTAGTTATTGATTAGCATTCTTTACATACAAACTATGACATTATTCCTTTCATTCATGCACTACAAACCCAAGTTAGAATTGACTTTTGTGAAATACTTTGGACCGTGTAGCATATTGACACCATCATCTGCATCACAAACACGTCCACAAACCAACACTTTCACATGAAAATGGCACATAGATCTAAGCTCCATTAGATTGCTCATTTTCCTACAAAAACTAGACTGTAAGGCACCACCGTGCACATGGATAGATCATAGTTACAACTTGCAAGATGACCTGGCATTTGTAAACATGTCAGGAAATTTGGCTTTGATGCTTTTCTAGATACTGTATTCTTCCATAAATAGTTAAGACACATTTTCAATCATTAATGACATTTTTATCATTGATTTGTGCAACTCACATCAGAAAATTCTAAATTACAAATAATGGTTGATCTTATTCCTAATTTATATATGATATCCTGAAAAACTTATCACAACATATCCTCTTATTAACAGCGTTAAGTTATTTTGTTAGTTTAATTTACAAATTTAACATATGTGCCAGAATTCCTGGTCTCCAAGCTTTGCATATTCGGTTTGCTCTCACTTCAACATTGCTTAGAGGACCTATCCTGCTGCATAAACATAATTTATGACAAGAACAAGACTATTCTCTGAGTTCTTTATAATATATTTCAATGTATTAGATTTACAGATATATTTGGTGTAATATTTAAATGTGCAGTTATTGTTGCTTGTAGCTACAGGGAATCTCCACCGTTTTGAAGTTATATTTGGTATAACCAATTGCAAATGCAATAAGTGAAAGAACTTTCTGCCATAAATATTATTAAAAATGGATCTTCAATAACTTGGACAAATGGTCATAATAATTTTTTTTTTTTGTCGCTATCCACAATTTCAAGATACATGCAATGATAAAAACAAGAAGCATTATGAAGAAAATTTTGCTACTGAAAAAAATTGTACAAGAAGAAAAATATGAAATCAAACATTTGTTTAATCAGTTAAGCATTAAGGAGTATTATGCTTAATTGAGTAAGTGATACCATGGAGAAAAGAACTTCAACATGGTATGCAAGAAATTTCACCAAAAACTAGGCTGCATTAGCTATAAAAGGAAACATATTTACACCACCAAGAGAATAATTATGGAGGCCATATCACAGACAAAGAATTTGAATCCAATCTATAATTAGAAGCATTCCTCTATAGAAGCAGAAAATTTTCAGTCTTCCCTTCTTTACCAGAACAACCCCTTTAGCTCTCAGATCATTGCCCAGCTTCTTGTTCGCCCGAAGTTGGTTGTAAAGTGTTACTGGCTGCAGTAGGTGTAGGTTCAACATGTCTCTCAATATCTTCATTTCTTTCTGATGTATGAGACTCGTCAAGGGATTGGCTCATGGTAAATGTCACAGGTCTCACATGTTTTGTTTCAGAAGTGTTTTTCAATGGCAGACGGCATACTGGACAGGTAGATTGTTTTCTCAGCCATATATCAATGCAAGAAAGATGAAAAGTGTGGCCACATTTGGGCATAATGCGCAATACTTCTCGTTCTTTGTAATCTGCCAAACATATTACACACCTGTAGAAGCAAACACAGTTATATATCTATCTCCTCCTTGCATGAGCTTATTAATCTATCAAAGTTGTTTGTATACCATGTGCTATGTGAACTATTATTACAAAATTAAAAGAACAATGTTATGTAGTAAGAAATTACTGTAACAGTTTGAAATCTTCTGTCAAGGAAAAATGAGGAACTTGTTCTCCTTGATCTACAATTAAGAGACTAAAACTTAACTGTGTGTGTTCGAGGGAACTGAAAGCCTCTTGGTTGAACTTCAAAGTAGGGATTGCCTCAAGCAGAACAGGTTCGGATTCAGGGTCATTAACATGATGTTCTGGCTATCAGTAAACAATGAAAAATTAAAATCTAAAGCAACCAACTCTAACAAGAATGACAAACTAAATTACAAATTAGACAAAGTGCATTCTCTTGTGATCCACCATTACTTGGAGGGTCCAGAAACATTTCAATTCACGAACTTGAAATTATGTGAAATATTAACAATGAACAAGCAACTTTGTCTGTGATTTATACCCGGTTAAAGGAGGGTTGTGGAAGGCCATTGGCAGCCGAGATAAAACTTGTCGATGCAAGTCATGACAGATTATTGCTAATGCTAAGTAGTAAATCGGAAGTACGAGTTGAATGACTCAAATAGAGTGTGAAATGAGTTAGAACCATTGCATCGGCACCTGAATGTAGTGCTAATACATCTGAAGATTTAGTTTTGGACTCTGATGATTTGGTTTTTCACCCAGCTCATTGGTGTTATGTGATACATATACCCACCCCACCAAGTAAGATTAGATTTTCTTGTCGTTATTGTAATTAACATAGAAAAAGTCTCGATTACAAATTGGATTAGAACATCTGCATAAATCTCAGCAACTTTCCCCAAGACAAATGCAATTAATTTAAGGAGCAATTTACACATTCATTGATGCAAATGCCCAATTCTCCACATCTGATTAGAAGCTCATAGCCAAGACAAAGATTTTCTTTTAGAAATAGAATGCAGCATTTGCATCAGAATCAGAAGTTAGAAAGAACAACAGAAAATTACAGCAAGCCTCATTCCTCATACAAAGGACCGGATCAGAACAAAGTACCTACTAGTCATGACCAAATAAAATAGAGATTAAATATTGATAGAAGTTTCGTAAAAAATTGAACAAAGCACCCAAAATCAAGCCACGTTCACAGGCAAAAACAGGAAAAGGGGGGAAAAGAAGAAAAAGGCACAGCCAACTTACCTGTTCTATATCAATTCTAGATTCAATCTCATACACCATCCGAGATTCAACTCCCCCTCTCAGCCTTCCACAAATGATTCTGGTGCAGACAAACACAATGAAAGTGGCACTCATGCCAAACCCAATGACCGTGGTCACCAAATTGGTACCTGAACCCAACATCTCCAACCCAAAAACCAATCCACACACACAAAAGATGCAACCACAACAACCACACGCCAACGGCTAGAAGCACAAGTACAAACAGAAGCAGCACCACAGCATATAGAACACGGCCACTTCACAGATTCTTCAACCCAAACACATGATGGCTCCCCAGGCAAAGTCCACACGTGACAAATCGAAATAGACTAGAGAATATAAAAGCTAGGAAAAACACAGAAAATAAAAGATACCCATGTCAGAAAAATGGAAACTTTAGAGGTATTCAGAGGAAAAGAAAAGAGAAAGCATGAATTGTGAAGAGATGGAATGGAATCACAGTGGCTTTGGTGTGACTCAAAGGATGGTGGTGGGGGAACAGACAAGAGCATAGAGAGAGAAAACTCTCTTATTTTCTTACTTAGGAATTAGAACTGTGATGGTGGGTCCACTGCATGAGGTGGACCCTCATAGATGTTGGGAATTTGTTGATCAAACGGTTGAGAGTTGCTGTCAATTTTTCGGCGGCAAAAGATCTTAACGGTAAAAAAAATTATGAAAGAAAGAGCAGCACTGGATTTTGAAGATCTGACAACTCTCAAACTTGTTTTAAGCTCAAGGAAAACAAGATTTGATGTTCTGTCCATTTCTCTTGTTACATCTTTCTTGGAAAATCACTCTCATACACAAAAATGTCTTTAAAAATATGACTTAAGATACATCTATTTTTAAAAATTATTATTCTATCAAAATATGTGTTTAAATATCACTGTAAAATTGATTTTTAAAAATTAAATTATGGGATATTTTTAATTTTAACCCAATATAAATTTTTATTTTTTTTATAAGTTGTAATAGATAAAACCAATGAATTTATTATAAAAACAACATACGATATATTGTTCATTACTATTAATTTCTATTAAATATATGATACTATGTAAATAGGGAAATATGTATGACTAATATTTAAGATATGATTGGATAAATGTATAGTTAAAAATCAGGGATTATATTTTCATTACTTTCTATTTTTGTTTCTTATTTTGAACTCTTCATTATTAACAATAACTAGAAACCCATTTGTGTTTTGACGCACATTCCGTAAATCTTAAATTTTTAATATGTTAAAAAAAACTTTAAATTAACGTGATTATGTGAAAAAAAAAGTAAATATATTCCTTATATAGATATTTATTGTAATATATATTTTGGATAATAAGAGTGTCAATAAAATATACGCATGTAATGTATATTAAATAATTAAATAAAATGTAGCAGGAATAAAGAAAAAGGAGTCTCGATCTCAATGTACTGTATTCTATTATAAAAAATTATATTTTTTGAAAAACTATAACTAAACTATTGATTTTACTTAACAAATATAATTAATCCAAACAGTTAAAAGCTAAAAAAAAGAAACAATAATAATTAATTAAGAAATAAATAAAAAATGTGTTCTTTCACTTTCTGGTTTCTACCTTCTAACACTCATCTTATCTTTGTGTGTAAGAAAGAAATAACAACAAAAGCAGGAAAACATAGGTAACATCAATTCTTGAGGATGAGCTGTTTTATTAACTTGTACTTTACTTTTCCCATCCTCTCTCTCTTGGAAGTAAAAAATAAAAACTTTGAAGATGTTTCATAATCTCACTCATTAAGGAAAGTAATAATAATAATAATGTTCTATACACAAAAATTATAAATAATGCACATAATTAAATCCTGAAATTATGTTCTATGAAAAATATATTTTAATAAATAAAACGTTAATGAAAATATCACACATTAATTAGATATCGTTCTTATGTTGATTAATTTGCTTACAAGTTGGATATATTTACTTCTTCTATCAAAATTGACCAATTTTAAAATATAAATTGCTTGACGGAGAGTATTATAATATTAAATGAAGATCTTGATTTGTTTTTGAAATAAATGATACAAAAGAATTGTCCTTCCATTAAAAATAATAAGTTGTATTAAAAATCATTTTTTTTTATTGAAAAACTATATTCTCTTCGAATACATTACTGGCAATAATTATAAATATCATAAATTAAAATTTTCTAAAAATTATAGTTACTCAAATGTAATGTAACTAATTTACAAGGTACTTATTACATTTAACCAACAAAATATATAAAAAAATATATTATATTTAATTAAAATTTAATTATAAAACCCACCTTTTTTCTATTGAAAGATAATATAAAATCCAGGTTCCCATTCCACCAACCCTAGTTGACCAAATCATAGACTTGTGTGTGCTTCTCAATGTGCCATGTGAGAGGGAAAAAGAGAATAAAACAATATGTATGAGAAAAATACAAACACCAGCACTTAGCTCAAGGAAAAAAAAATAGTATAGAAGAAAAGACATGAACCATTAATTAAGGAAGATATTAGATACTCTCTCCATAAAATTAATTAAACTTCAATGTCAATAGTCAACACTATTTTTCGAAAACGATATCCACTTCTTCAAACACGACACACTTTAAAGTACTTTTCAGATTTTCAAACTCATCTTAAGATCTCACTACTATATGCATGGTTTCAAAGATTCCTTGGGTCAATATTGCTTGAAAATATAAATTATAATTTCTCATATCTGAAAATTTTGGAGTAGGATACTTACCAAAAAAAACTTCAGCAGATTCTTGAAATATGAAGTTTGATCAAACACTTGTTTCATAGAACTTATTGAGATAAATTAAAATATTAAAAAAAAAACTTAATTTGACAAGAGTTAAAACAAACTTAAAAGAGTTTAGAAAAGATCATAATTCACTTTTAATAAAACAAATTATTGTAATTGTTCCCTTAGTACATTACATTAAGCTCAATGGATTGTGACATCATGTAACTACGACAGTTAAATGTTATTAAACATTTTGAAGTGTGACACCTGTCTTCTTTCTCACTAATAAATCTAGAAAATATTTTGGGCAAGTGGGAGAACATTCAACATGTATTGGCTGATTAATCATTTATATATGATATGATGTTGCAAAGCCACGATAATGCTTCAATAATCATGTTCAGTAAGCAGATTGTAACATTCAATTAAGCATAATTCTTCACCTCGTTCAACAAATATCATGTATCATTTTCACACACTAATAAACAAGTAAACGTTGGAAATTTTATATCGATTAGTGACGATATTAATACAAAAGTTGTGTGAAATTATGCTTTCATATTATGCTTTCATCCCATAATGTTCACAATTTCTGATTACAAACAAGTACCATGAAACATTCACTTGTTTGAGATTCTGTGTATAAATGGGTTGTACATCATCTTTACAAGGAATTGTTGGTGACATGACTCAAGAAAAGTATCTTGCTTTCATGTTCTAAGAAATCTTTTTTGTTCTTGAAGGAAAGGGAAAGTACTTCACTCCATACTTCAGTACAGAAAACCAGATTCATGAAAGGACATAAATATATTAAACAAAACAAATATCTGACCTTGGAAGGAAACATCATCAACATGCCCATAAAGATAGAACTGTATTTCACTGTGGAAGATGACAGATGGGGACATACTTATTTATTTTTGGACTTCTCAAGAACTTTGGAGATTGGAATTGATGTCTTGGATCATTACTCATTCTCACAGGCAGGCACCAGCAATAAACATGAAAAGGATAATTCAAATCTATTTTTCCCAAAGAAAAGGTTTAATAAGATTTCATTACTGAAAAGTATCGTATTTTTGTTTTCATATGTTGTGAATATAGAACATCTTAAAAGATTGCTTAGAGTTGAGTGAATAATGGTGTAAGGTATTTGATAATAGATCAATGGAATTGGGCCAAGAACAAGGGAAGAACAAAATATGGTTAGAATCGAAACTTCGAATAGAAACATATGTTTTTATTGAACACAGAATATGATTTTAAAAAAAAATCTACTTAAAAGTTATTTACCTATTCATGATCATTTGTGTCCCAAATATGCATCACAAATCTTTTATTCCACACATCAATGCAATATCCGAATTTGACATGTTAGAAAAATGTTGAGAACTGGTCAACTTAGGTCCCTGTGGAGAGTTACTGTACTGGTAGAGACGGAACAAGGTTGTAACCAATAATTCAATGCAAATTTGGTTCACACATCAATGGATCCATTATGATCATGGCCATGAAAATGAGGTGCCCACTAACTTGTCCTTTTATTGTGAAAAAGAGAAACTTGATTCATATTTATTTTTTGCCCTATCTCAGCAATAAATAGACCTGGATATTAACACATGCAATTCAATGTTGAATATTTCCTTTCAAACTATATTTTCAATCTTTTACGCATAGCAACAATTTGACAACAGATAGTGCCTTTTGTCATAAAAAAAAGCTGAAAACGACCAAGATGTTGATTATAGAGCCCTATAAAATAAGAGATCTTTTGCCCTTTTAATTTCTTAACTAATGAGCTTGAAGAGTTATCAAATATTGTTCCAATTTGATCATTGATAAAGAAAAAACTTTCATCTTGTAAACAGTTTTTATATTTTAAGAAGAAAATATAACACCTCGTTTTAAGACGGTTGAAGTCTTCGAGTTCGAACAAATGCTAAAAGATGAATAAAGACTCAAACGTATGCGGTCTATTAAATCGAAGTTATGTCTTACTATATTCGACCAACTAAATTAGTAGTTTAGTCAGATTATTTTTCGTTGATTTGAGAAAACTTTCATTTTGTGAATTTATTTTAGACAAAAAAATTTGTTTTGTTTTATATCAGTCATTTTAGAAAAATAAGATTTTTTTTCAACGTCATTATAATTTCTTAGTATTTTCACTAAAGGAAATGAAAAAAATATATTAATAAAAACATAAAGTCATTTATTTTATGAAAATATCTGTGTTTTTATTTGTTATCTTATTAATAACTTTGAAACCAGTGTATTACTTTTACTTTAATTCCTGAATTCAATATATGTTGTAGAAATAATAAAAAAAAAGTAATATTTTAATCATTATAACCAGAATTAAAAAAAAAACTCT